AAAAAGAGGCAGACTAGTAAAATGATACTGATATCGAGATAAACATTTTACTAGTTAACCACTTTTTGATATCTTTCCAAAGAAGTGAGATATATAGGCTCAAAGCGAACGATCCTGGTGTCGTTCTATTAGAGGTTTTACGGTAATTGTTTTTTGATATCGTTTGAAGGAGCCGAGATAAATTAGGTCAAAGTTAAGAGACACTCCTATAGCAGGAGAAGGGCCCTCAACTTTAACCCAATTTACCTCGCTTCTCAGAAAAGATATCAAAAAGTAATCAACTTGTGAAATGTATACAATTTTATTACAAACATTTTACTAGTTGGCAACTGTTTTGTATCTCTTCTAGGAATCCAGATAATTGAGCTTAAAGTTCAGAGTCTATTAGAGCAAATATGGCGCCCCTTATCACATTATCACATCATCCCACTTTCCTCTCATGTTCCTTTTCGCTTTACTTTTTCCCTTTTGCTCTCAAATCTTCTCACTTTCTTCCCTCTCCAATCGATCCATTTATTTTTCTTCACAGCTTTATGCATACCCGTTTTTTTTGAAAAACAAAAAATCTCTTCAGGGTTCTTTTCTTTTTTGTTGTTGTCTACTTTCTAACAGAGTACTTATTTTTGTCTACAAGGTAAAAAACCAATTTTTACGATATATTTGAAAATCCGCATAATTGTGATCTTCCATTTCAACAATTCCTCTTCTTTCGCTTCAATCGTATGATTTTTATAAATTGTAGTTTCATTTGCCAGTTTTCGCTTATTTTTGTCCCTCCTCGTCTTTTTTTTTAAATAAAAAACTTCAGTTTTAATTATTTTCTTTCTATACAAAGTGTTTTCATGTTTTTTCAGATAGAAATTCTGTAATTTTCAATGTTTCCCAGCTTATTTTTTTGTAGAATTCAAACTTCAAAACATTTTAGTTCGAAATCTGTTAAAAAAGACTACTCTTAATTTCAGTATGAAATCACTTAAATATCGTTCGATTTGCGAAAAAAAATAATCTCGAAAGCTTCACATTTCTATATTCTTCGGCAGATTAAAAAATAGTTGAAAATGCACCACCCAGGTTCGCTACTGTGTAGCTCAGCAGACATTCAAAGTTTAAGTCAATTTATCTCGGTTCGTGCAAGAGTAGGAAAAGAAGACAAAAATTTTGGCAAAAATATGTTTTTAATGTAGTCAATTTTTTAGTGCAACTGAAATCTGCAAAAATTCTAAAGATCTCAAAGTCACTGGCCAATCGATCGTGCTGGCGCCGACCCAGCCTCCAGCCGCCGACGCATATCTCAGCTCAAACTTAGAATTTCTGCACAAAATAACAACCAAAAGAGTAGACTTTGGCAAGATCTACAAAATAATCTAAAATTCAACTATATTACAATGCCGTGTTTCAAATTAAAGATGATGAAAAGGGGTGTAAGTAAAATAGGTAGGCCTCGTTGGGGCTGATACTACGCGCCAACGCATAACTCAGCTCAAACTTAGAATATCTTCACAAATTAAAAATTATAAAATAGAACTGGAAAAGATCTATAAAATGATAGTAAATTCGACTATATTGAACTGCCAAGTCTTGACTCAGAGACGGTCGAAAGAAGTGTTAGCCTAACCGACACCCGGAGGCTCCAACCTCGTTTGCGGTCCTCTAGTTTAAAACTGGCCTTTTTAATATGATTGAATTAAATATCATTTTGTAGATCTCGCTCAGTTCTACTGTTTAAGATATAAATCATACGGAAATTCCAGGTTTCAGCTGAGTTATGCGTCGGCGCACAGTGAGGACCGGGTGGGTGCCAACGAGATCGGCGCCCCTGGGTGCCGATTTTGCCTATCCGTTTTTCACCGTTTTAGAGTCAAAACTAGGTATTTTATTATGGTTGAATTATGTATCATTTTGTAGATTTCATTGAGTTCTATATTTTACAACTTAATTTTAACAGAAATTCCAAGTTTGAAACGAGGTAATAGTCGCGTTACAAGCCAATGAGTAGAAGTATTTAGTCGGATCAAACCATTCGGAGTCCCTACCACGATCCACCCGTCACCAGGACATAATCCAAAGGATAATATAACACAAATCCCTTCTTCACCCCCTATCACATCTTCGATCAATGTTTACACCACTCCTCGTGTGGTCCATCTGACCTCTTTTCGTGTGTGTTCCCCGCAAAAAAGCAATTAGTCTCTGTACGCGGCTTCTCTTTCCACACTGACCGATATCAACTGTAAAACAATTAATATAGTTGGGTCTAGACAAGAGACTAATGAGAGCTTTAATCTTTTGCCGAGAGAAGAAATGGAAAATGCTCTCTGGGGGTATACGGTAGGCCAATAACGCGGAGAGAATAAGAAGTGGCGAATGGGAGCGGCCAATGAGATGAGAAGGGAGGAGTCTATAGCATAGTTAGTTAATTTAGGGATATAGTTAAGGTTACAGAAATGCTTACCAGTTTTCATTTCCCTGGTTTTATAAATTAATTCTTTTTAGGGTCTCTTATCTGTACCTCCTAGGGCCTCGGTACATTCTTACTATAGTCGTCAACTTTGAATCAATTTTTATTGGTTAATTTGAGAGATATTAAAAAGTGCTCAACTAATAAAATATTTTTCATAATATCAGCAACATTTTATCAATTGATAACTTTTGGATATCTGTAAGATGAACTCAGATAAATTGGCTCAAAGTTATAAGGAGGTCTTCGGAGGTCAATAGGCCAAAAAAGCTCTGGCAGTTTTCGGTTTGTAGCCTTGTTCATAGACTAGATAGAGTTTCTATTTCAAATTTAGTAGATCAAGAACTAACGATCCTGAAGGAAACTATGGACCAGCTTTCGACAGTACTTCTATAGTTTTGCGGAAATTTCATCAATGGAGACGGTTGACCAAAAAAAAACAAAAGATATCATTTTGAATAGTTTCTAGAAACATCTAATTTCAAATTGAAAGCAAACTATTTATGGATAATTTGATAAAGCCGATCAAGAATTAGTTCCTTATTTTCTTTTTTCGCCGTAACTGCTCCCTAATATATCTCGGTTCCTATTCCTGTTGATAATCGTGTGTCCCTCAAATTATACCTTTCTTTGAGCTCAATTATCTCGGCTCCTACAAGAGATATAAAAATTTGGAAAACTGATAAAATGTTGCTGATATTATGATGAATATTTTGTTAGTTAACATAACTTTGATAGATGTCATAGGAGCCGAGATAATTGAGCTCCAAGTGCATAAGAGTGTGGAGGTCTGTTGTAGGATAAACTGTACATTTTGAGAAGATGACAAACATTTCTAGGTTTCTTGGAGAAAAGTTTCAAGGAATAATGAGCTTCTGATTATTTTAATAGACAAATTTAGGGTAGATTTTGCCATATAACCTGTGGGGAACTCAAGTCTCCAAATCCTCAAGACGCGAATTCAGAAAACAAAAGGCTCGGAGGCTACAAAAATTTTGTGGTCACATGGGTATGAACCAAATTAGGGGTACGAAGTTTATGAAAAGTTCGAAATTTATACCCCTAATTAAGGATTTTGTACTCCTAAATTGATTTGTACCCCACTGACCTCAAATTACTTGTATCCTCGGAATTATTTGCCAAAAACAAGGCGTAATTCAGAAACTTTTCGAATATTAACTACAGTACTTTATGGATGATAAAAGGATGCTTCAGAAAGTTTGGAAAAATCGAAATTCTGGAATCTTCTGGATAATCAAAATTCCATACGAACTAAACTCCTCCTTCTCCCGAGTTATTCTTCCGAGAGCCCAAGTAAATGCAAACACAAAAACTTGTCAATTGTACTCCTCTTTTTTGACACCTTGCAGATTTATGGACGCACCGAGCCTACTCTCGAGAGTTTTTACACACTTTTTGGTGTCAAAAAGTTGGCACCCATAATTCAAATTTTTGGACATTTGGGATACTTTTTGGAGCAAATACCGGAGTGTGACAAGGGGAGCAAAAAATGAAAGATATGAGAAATAAGGGAGGCTTTGGAGAAGCCCAAAATTTCGAAAATCCAGAAAATTCTGTAAGTCAAGAGGAATTTCAAAAGTATCTAGAGATTCAGATTCCTAAGAATCTCTAGAAACTAGAATATCTAGAAGTTTCTGAAATCCCTCTAGACATCTTTGCAGGCAATCGTTAATAAGAAATTCACTTAATAAGAAATTCCATTAATAAGGATCGGAAACCAAATCACACCTGACAGAATATTATGAAAAATGAAAGCTAGCAATTTCTTATCACTATGATTTCTCTAACACCCAAACTGTTCAACCGTTCTCTTCTCTCTGCCCCTCTCTATCCCTCCAACTACCGTAATCCCTTGCATCTCCACCCCCTGGTGGTAGTTGAGTGTCAGTTGTGTTGTCTTCTTCTTCTTCGTGAAAATTGATCGCTGTCTTCCTCTTCGTACATCCTTCGTCGTCTCAGATGCTGCTGCTGCTGGTGGAAAACGTTGCGTTGTTTGGTATTTTTGAGTGTAGAGCGAGTCATCGGTGGTTGTCGCATGATGACGAAGAGATGTCTCCCAAGGAGGATTCTTGGAAAAATTGGGGAGGAAAAATGAGGGATCGAAGTTGGTCGATCTTGAAATCTGGGGGGCCAGAGGAGCTAAAAATGAATCTGAACTTCTGAAAAGTCGAGAAAACCTATAAATAAAGTACATGAAATATGTAAAGAATAGAATATAGGAATACATCTATTATGTTTGGATATTTTCAGAAACAGTGAGCATGAAAGGGGTACTGTAATACCTGTAGAAGAAGAGCACCCTAAACTTTAATCCAATTTATCTAGGACGCTGTAAAAGATATCAGAAAGTTGACAATTAGCAAAATGTTTATCCTGTAATTTCAAATATTTTATTAGTTTACAACTTTTTTATATCTTTTGGAAAAATTGCGAAAAATTTGGGTAGATTTAAAGTACAGGCCAAGTTGGGGACTGAAGGGTGTTCCAATTTTGAGTCAATTTATCTCCGTTCCTGTGAAATACATCAAAAAGTGGTCAACTGACAAAATGTTTAACATTTTGAAAGCTACATTTTGTTATTTGATTATTTTTCGATCGCTTTTACAGTAACCCCGATAAATTTGGTAAAATTTGAGGGACCTTTCTGTAGCAGGTCGAGCTAGTGCCGATTGGTCTCCCAACTTTAAGCTATCAAAAAGAGGTAAACTGATAAAATGTTTCTTTTTTCATGATTACTATTTTGGCTGTTAACCACTTTTTGATATCTCTTACAGGGACCCCGATAAATGTGGTCAAAGTTAAACGCCTCTTCAAGCCTGTTGGCTCAGTTGGCAACTTAAGGACTTTGAGCCAATTTATCTCGGTTATTGCGAAAGCTATCAAAAACATAGTCAACTAACGAAATGTGGAACATTTTGAAAACTATATTTTGTTATTGTTGGCTGATTTTTAATAGCTCTCACAGGAACTGTGATAAATTGTCTCAAATTTAAAAGGGCTCTTCAAGCCTGTAGGCTGAGTTGGCGACTAAAGGGCACCTTAAGCTTTGATCTAACTTATCTCGGTTATTGTAAAAGCTTTCGAAAAATAGCCAACTAACAAATGTTTACCATAACATAAGGAACATTTTATCAGTTGACCACCTTTTCATATCTTTTATGGGAAGCGAGAAAAATTGGTTCAAAGTTAACGAGTTATTTTATTACAGCTTATTTCTAGATGTTATAATTGTAAGGTCCATAAGGTTTTAACAATTTTAAAGGTACAGGAACATTTCAGAAAAATCTCGTTTTTTAACCTTTTCTAGGATTTTAATTGAAATGAGCGAAAATCGCTGAAAAATGAGCCAAAAAATGATATAGAAAATATTTTGGACTACTGTATTAAAGGCGCATAGAATTTTCTTTTTATATTCTCTCCCAAAGGAACAGTTTCAATGAAAAAAAGGGCCGCAAAACATTAATAAACTTCCAGGTTACAGTATTAGTTTTCGTTCTGACACCTCCTCCTCCTTATCGCTAATCCGTGTTGCCAAGAATGCGCGAGAATGACAATGGTCCTTGCGAGAGACGATTTACGACTCAATAATCATAAAAACATTTATCTGAGACAAATCAAATCACACACTGTTATATAATAAGACAAATTGGAATGTGGAGGAGGGGGATAAGGAGAGATGAGATTTGAGATTCGATGATATACAGGAAGCAAACTGGGAGATGTAGTAATCATAGTGAAACTGGGGTTAGAATAATTCACAGGAAGTGGATCTTTAAAGGTGTGGGGTACAGTAACAACATGAAAAAGGAATCCAAGACCCTGAAGTATACCATCAACTTTAAGCTCGATTATCTCAATTCCTATGAAAGATATCAGAAATTAGTCAACTGACATATTATTTATCACAATGTCACCAATAGTTAATCAGTTGACAAACTTTTGATATCTTTCACAGGAATCGAGATAATTGAGCTGAAAGTTGACGGTTTGGGCGGAGCATCTTTAAAGGTGTGGGGTACAATAAAAATTCAAAAAAAGTTCATAAAAAAGGCAAATTTTATTTCAATAGCAGGTCAATTTTCAATCTCAAATCCCCCTTCCTTCACATGAAACACTTCAGATTCCGACCACGGTTGGATTAGGTCATCCTTGTTACATCGTTCCAGCCAAGCTGGTTTCAGAACGGTGCAAGTGTTCTGAGAAATCGCTTGAGCCGTTTTGGGATGCGTTGGTTTTGGAGCTGTCGCAATGCATAATTGGGTAGAGGAGGCTGTAATTAATAATAGGGATAAAAAGACTACAAACTACAAAATCCAAACAAATTTTTTTTAGTTTGAATCTCCTAAGAATTCTGGTGAAACTTTGAGATTTCTAGCTCTTCTAGAAGCTGAGATAGGACAACTTGAAGTTCATAAGAGACGCAGACAGCTAGAGTGTCTCGTTGTCTGCGTCTCTGACCTCCTAAACTTCAAATGACGCTATCTCGGTTCCTAGGTGAGCTAGAAATTAAATTCTTTCACTATTCTACACAGAACTTTTCATAGAATCTGTTTCACATTAAACATTTCGTTGAAATCTGAACTTTTTTCGAGCATATTTTAAAAGAGTTGTAAATCAAACAAGATCAGGAGGCTCTTAGGGATTATCTGGCCTCCGTAGCCTACCACCACTTCAATTGATGACTTACACCCTCTAACAGACAGATGGCCTCTAGCTTTCGAAGCGATCAACACTTGTACTATTTATCATTGTCTTGTCCCTTCAGCAGGGTTAAAGAGACAGATAAGCTTAGGAATTGAAAAAATACATTTCAGGGGATTCTGAAAATCCTAAGAAATTCAAAAAATGCTTAGAAATCCAAAAAGTGCCCAAAACTCCAAAAATTCTTTTAAATTCCATAAATTCCTTACAATCCTTGAAATTCCATAAAACTTCAAAAATTCCAAAAAGTCCTTGAAACTCAAAAAGTCTTAAAAATTCCAAAAACTCACTGATCCCCTTGACCACGCTGGCTCCGAAATGCTTCAGAATCTCCTCACACTTTCGTCGAACGGCGTCCGACGTCCCTTGGAGTACTGCAACCTCGATTCCAGAAAGGCTAGACTCGAGTTTTGCACGTTTCAGCTGCACAGGGGCGGCTGGAAATTTTAGTTTTCTAAAAATTTCGTCTAAGATCTTTTCAGAAAGTTAAAATTCTTATAGTTCTAAAAAAGAGGAACCGACAGTTCTAAATCAATTTTCAAATTTGAAAAATAATGATTTTGAAGCGAGTTAAGACATTTTTAATATGGTGGCCTAGGAATCTAAAACCTGAAAAAACTAGGCCATGGTGTATATGGTTCTGAATAGCATGATTTGACAATTCCGAATCAAGTTTTAGATTTCAAGAACATTGATTTTGAAGCGAGTTGTACCCATTTTAGTTTGGTGGCCTAGAAATCCAACTTTTGCAAAAGTTAGGCCATGGTGTACATGATTTTAAAAAGCTAGCTCTGACAGTCCCAAATCAAGTTTTAGATTTCAAAAATATTGATTTTGAAGCGAGTTATGATCGTTTCAAATTTGGAACAATATGGCCTAGTTTTGGATTTCCAGGCCACCAAGCAAAAATGTGTATAACTCGCTTCTCAATATTTTGGAAATCTGAAAATTGATTTGGAGCTCTCGGATCGTGCTCTTTAACACCATGTTCACCATCGAAAATTGATCGATTTTGAAGCCACTTATGACCATTTTAAAATAGTGGCCTAGTAATCTAAAATTTCCAAAAACTAGACCATGATATATAAGATTCTAAAGAGCACGATTTGAGAGTTCTAAATCAGTTTTCAGATTCCGAAAATATTGATTTTCAAGCGAGTTATAATCATTTAAATTTTTTGGAAGAATGTGGCCTAGTTTTGGATTCCTAGACCACCAAAGTAAAATGAGTATAACTTGCTTCAAAATCAATATTTCGAGAATCTGAAAACTGATTTGGGACTGTCAGAGCTTGCTTTTTTTACATCATGTACATCATGGCCTAGTTTTACAAAATTTGGATTTCTAGGCCACCATTTTTAAATGATCATATCTCGCTTCAAAATCAATATTTTGGAAGTCTGAAAATCGATTTGGAATTGTCACAGCTTTCTCTTTAAAAACATGACCTAACTTTTGCGAAATTCGGATTTCTAGGCCATCATTTCAAAATTAAATTCACCTTGATGAATAGCTTTCCGTGTGATTCTCTCCACTTTCAATGGGTCCGGCTTTCTGTCTTCCTCCTCATCACTATCGGCAACCTCGTCGCCCAGCTTGCAGTCTTGAACTTTCTGAAAAACATGGCCTAGAATTTTTCTCTTAAACATTTTGTCATACCGTCGAGTAATCCCGAAACTCGTCCCAAGTGTTAATCTGATCAACCGGCTTGTCTAGTCTCCATTCTCTCATCACTGGGTCTACCAGTTTTCCATTTCTCACTCCATTCGAAGTAATTTTTATCACTTGCCATCTCTCGAAATCTATGAATCCTCCCTTCTCCTTATCAATATTCATAGGTCGTTTTCCGTAGTACGTTAGCTCTTCTGGAGCCTCCTCCAGAAGCTGTCCGCATTCCATTCGAATCGCATCGTGTACATCTTTAGCCAGCCCATAGGAACATCCTAAGCAAAGCTTGTAGTTTTTAGCCTTCTCATCATAAGCTGCAAATCGATACACCGTTTTGCCATTCCTCCCGGCGCCTGGAAAAATCGCCACTAGCGCCAAATCAAGGTCACAATCCTTTGAAGCCGATGGTTTTAGCTTAAACCACCCGTTCGCTGCACTCCTCTGTCCCTTTAAGTACACACTATCGGCGCGTTTCACGACGATTCCTTCCTCGTCATTCGCCATGGCGGCTTCGAAATATTGTTGAATTTGCTCCTTTTTACTAGCTTCCTCGTGTTTCGCTATGAATATCGTATCCTCTCGCTCCTTTTTCAGCGGCGCAATTTTCAGCATCTCGAGACGCTGGTGAAGGGGAGCACCGAAAAATGGTTTGCCATTCAGATAGAGCAAATCGAACAGGACAACGGCTGAATAATTTTAGATTTTGGTTTTTTTATTTTTAATTTTTCAAATTTTTTTACTTAATTGCTGATTATCATCTGGTTTCACATGTCGGAAAGACAGCACCTGCGCGTCTGAAGTGCCGGAAGCGTCGTTGTGGCGACCTAGAAACATGTTTTATGATTTTTCGCGATTTTTGAGCAAAATCCTAGAAAATTGTACTATTTTCGACAATTTCTGAGGTTTTTAGAGATTTTTTCGGGCTTTTTATCGAAAAAAAACTTTGAAAACTGTCGAAATTTCTATTTTTCTCAAATTTTCGACGATTTTCATGATTTTTCCATTCAATTCCATTTTTCAATTCGATTTTTCGCCATTTTTCCCAAATTTTCGATGATTTTGATGGTTTTTCCCGTTTTTTCGCGATTTTCATCGAACAAAACTATGAAAATCGTCGAAATTTTTCAAAAAAAAAATGCGATTTCGTGTCGACACCCTGCCTCATTCAAGCATGTTCCTTTAAAGGAACATGCTGTGAAGAGCTAGGGTTTCGACACGATATCGCTGTGTTCTGTATTTTTTTTTTTCAATTTTGTCGACAATTTACCTAAGAATCGAAGAAAAACCATGAAAATCGTCGAAAATTATTCAATTTTTTGAGAATTTTTCTCGAAAAAATCGAAGTAAAACTATGAAAACCGTCAGAAACCACTCAATTTTCCGCTAATTTAGCTTCAAAAATTACGAAAAATCGAAAAAAAAACCATGAAAATCGCCAAAAATTTTTAGAAAAAAACACAAAAATTGCAATTTTAAAAGCAAAACTCTCACAAAGTTTCTTCGTTTTCTTATCCCAAAGCATCAATTCGCAATTAAAAATCGCCGATTCACACTCCTTATTAAAGTACGAGTGTATACGACTCGACAGCTTGCCAATCGCCATTGAAGAGTCTCCGTAGTCCTAAAAATCCTTTAAATTCTCGAAAAAAAAACAATTTTTCTGAAAAACAAACCTTTGTAAAATCGTTATTATTCCTTGTAAACCAGCGATACTCGTTGCCTTTCTTATGCAATAACACATTTTCCCCATCGAATTTGATTTGCAAAAAGAATTTTTGGCCTCCGAATTTCTCAATATTCGCATACCAATCCCCTCGTTTCTGCTTCTGGAGCAACATTGGTGTCCAGATTTTGAACAGGTGCTCATCTTCCTCGAATTCCACGTCATCTGCTTCTTTTTTCAATTTCCCGTTTAAAACAATTTTCAAACATGAGACTGCTCCCAGATAGCAAATGCTGAGGGCGAAATCCAGTCTAGAATTCTGTTACTCGGAGCGCCTAAAGCGGATTCCACGTTGCGAAGAATGATATTGAATACCCATTCCAGCTCGTCTTCTGAACACTTTTTCACCAGTTTTGACATTTTTTCGCGCTCTAAAAAAATTCTTATAACAATTTATTCTAAAATTCCAGTCTACACACTGGTCTGATCGTCCATTGGTCCTTGTGCCAGAAAATTGAGAAATTCATTCAATTCTCCAGTTTTTATCACTCCAGAATCGTCATTTTCCGTTCGATATGCTTCGGAAATTTTTTCAGCCAACTGCCGAGCCGCTTTAGATGAATCCTTGGAAATTTCAGCGACATAGTCAGCTCGGACGTCGTGAAACGTCTTCGCGAGAAAACTCGCTAGCTTAGTCGGTCCCATGTCGAATTTTCGAAACCGCTCGAAGTCGGAAACGAAGAGGCGTAGAACTTCGGACATTTCAGTAGGATCATTACATGAAGATTTCCAAGAATCGAAGCTCTTTTGGAAGGTTGCCTGCTTCGATTTCAGATTTGATGTCCGCCGGATCTTGTTGAAGACGCCCACGATGTCGTCGAACAGCACATCGGAGGCCATCTTGAAATGAAAATTTTTATTTCTTTTTTTATTTATTTAGGATTTCTAAGCGGAATGAGCGAAAAAAGCGAGAAAATGACAAAAAATACGTACAAGAAAAATGGGGAATTATGCTTATTTAGGTACACTTCGGCGGCTCTCCTCCGCCTCCTCCTTCCTTCTTCTGTTCCACGTGGCCTTTACAATGACCTGTTTCGCAATCGGAATCCGAGTCGGAGCTTGAGTCTTGCCAATTTTTGGGCTTCTTGTAGATACAACAGCACTTGCTCTTCTTCTTGCCCATTCCCTCATTGTCGACGGTTTCGGTCGCCCAGACGACGTGACGGCGTTCGGCGGGGCGGTCTCCGGAGGTCAGATGGAGCACGAGATTCTCCTCGGGTTCCGGCGGAGGGACGGTGACTGTGGTTGTGGTGGTAGTGGTGCTTGAAGCGGTTTGTTGGTGGCTCATTTTTTTCTCTGTGATAAATTTCGTAATTTTTGGGGAGAAATCGAGAAAAATAGGGGGAAAATCAATGAAAAATCAAGTTCAGGAGCTAAAATACATGTAAAAATAGCCAAAATTCAGAGAAAAACCTCTAGAAACAAACAAAGAACTGAATTTTCTGTTTTCGGTGATTTTTTCCATAAACTTCGTAATTTTTGAGGAAAAATCGAGGGAAATTGATGAAAATTTAAACTCAGGAGCTAAAATACATGTAAAAATAGCAAAAATTCAGGGAAAATGCTAGAAAAATCTCTAGAAACAACAATAAACAAAGGAAACCATAGAAAAATCACATGAAAAATTATTGTCCTCGAGAAATACACGAAGCGGAGTCTCGCCGCGGAAGGCCTAGAAACCCAAAAATGTCGGCGACCCTCGGAGTGCTCGGACTCCTCACGGACAAGACCGAAATAAATGCGAATTTTTAACTTTTAAAAAATATATAAATTCTATCGAAAAATGGCTCGAAGCGGGCCTGCCGCACTGGACTATTTGGGATCGGAAGCCGAAGATTTCAACAAAGCACAACATTTGTATTTGAAGCCGATGGCTGTGATCAAAATTACCGTTGTTTTGCCCAGAGTAGGAAATTTGTTTAAAAATGCTAAAAAATCACTTTTTCGCTGTTTTCAGATGACAATACCCGGTCAATCAATTTCAAATTGGGATCTAATGGAGAGACTGAAACGAGCAATCGATCCGATTCAAATGGATTCTTGTAAAGTCAGGGAGAGCAACATAGACTCTGTAATCTTCGAAGCCGAGCTGCTGTCACTAGGAATCATGCAAAAAACTATGAATATCCTCGACGGATTCTCAATGAAAGTGTCGGGATTTGCGGAGCCATTAAAAGTGAAGACAAAAGAGGCAAAACTGGATTTTCCCAGTCGACACGATTGGGATGTCTGGTTTATGAAGAATAAAATTGATGAGACGAAGCCAGGAGAGCGCCCAGATACAGTATATCTTGCCAAAATTCCAGTAAAATGGTTTTGCGACGGCTACAACGACTTACCCTCCGAACGACGTCTTCGTGTAGCTATGGAGCAATTCGGAGCCGTCCGTGCTGTAGATATTCCTATTTGTGATCCGTTAAGAGCTCAAATGAGCTCAAAAGTCTCTGGAATTCAGCAAAAAGGTTTTGGCCTGGGCCAGGACGTCTTCTTCGAGGCCTATGTGCAGTATATGGAGTATAAAGGATTCGCGACAGCTATGGATTCGTTGAGGAATCGAAAATGGGCGAAACGAATTGATGGACGATTTTTTCAGGCGTTGATCAAGGTAAAAGAGTGTTAAATTAGGAGTTTAGGCAGGTTTAGATAAGATTTTTTGACAAAAAAGTTCCAATTTCCCCCAAAAAATTCATATTGACTCTTAAAAAATTGCATATCGCACCTTCTCGCTGAATACCGTTCAACGCCACTCTGCAGGTAATTTTTCTGAAAATTCCCCTGAATTTTAAGAGATTTTCTAGGTGGATTTCGATCGGTCACGACATCTCAGCGAGGCGCAGATCGCGAAGCGGGCCGACGAACGACGACAAATGGAGACGGATCGGTTGAGGCAGGAGGAGGAGGAGCTGAATGTGAAGTTAGTGTGAAAAATTGGTTAAAATGCTCGATTTTGATGCTATTTATGACCATTTGAAGATAATGGCCTAGAAACCCAAAATCAGTAAAAAAAACTGGGCCATGGTGTACATGATCTTAAAGAGCAAACTCTGAGTTCCAAATCATTTTCCAAAATTTGAAAAATCTCGATTTTTTAGCGAGTTATACCCATTTTAGTTTGGTGGCCTAGAAATACAAAACTCGCAAAAACTAGGCCATGACATAGCTTCAAATAACAAGCTCTGACAGTTTCAAATCAGTTTTCAGATTTCCAAAATATTGATTTTAAAGCCATTTATGATCAATTTAAGCTGATGGCCTAGAAAACCAAATTTTGAGAAACTAGGTCATGATGTAAGTGAATCCTAAGAGCAAGCTCCGACAGTTACAAACCAGTTTCCATATTTCGAAAATATTGATTTTGAAGCGAGTTATGCTCATTTTAGTTTGGTGGCCTAGGAATCCAAACTAGAAACCCAAAACTAGGCCAGATTTTCCAAAAAATTGAAATACTCATAACTCGCTTCAAAATCCAGATTTTCGAAATCTGAAAACTGATTTGGAAACTTCGAAGCATGCTCTTTAAAACCATATGCATCATGACCTAGTTTTCCGGATTTTGGGTTCCTAGGCCACCAAACCAAAAGCTTTATATCTCGCTTGAAAATCAATATTTTTTAAATCTGAAAAAAGTTTGAAAACCTATAAAAATAACACTGTAAAATTTCAGACGCCAAGAAGAGCTGAAAATCAAGGAAGAGGAGAATGAGAAGAATCGACGACGAGAGGATCGGAGCGGAAGCGAAGGGAGAAGGTGAGATATTCTTAAATTGAAGATTTTGAGAATTAGAAATTTGGGATTCCCGCATTTTTTTACCTGATGGCCTAACTTTTTCAGAAAATTGTATTCCTAGGCCATCACTAAAAATTTGCGAATTTTTCAAAATTTAGGCAACTATGACCAAGAGCAAAACTCCACAGTTCTAAATCAGCTTTCAAATTTCGAAAATCTTGATTTTGAGCCGAGTTATGAGCATTTCAAATTTGGAGCAACGTGGTCTAGTTTTGGGTTTCTAGGCCACCAAACTAAAATGGGTATAACTCGCTTCAAATTCAATATTTTGGAAATCTGAAAATTGATTTGTAGCTCTCGAATCGTGCTCTTTAAAACCATGTTCACCATTGCCTAGTTTTCTAAAATTTGGATTTCTAGGCCAAAAATCAATATTTTGGAAATATGGAAGTTGATTTGGGACTGTCAGAGCTTGCTCTTTAGATCCATGTAGATCATGGCCTAATTTTCCAAATTTTGGGTTCCTAGGCTACCGCTTAAAAATAGCTGTGAATCGCTTCAAAATCTGTATGTTTTGTTCCAGAGAGAGCTGGAACGAATGGCTGAGGAAGAAAAGAAGCGTCTGGAAAAAGAGCGTCTCGAGATGGAGCATCGTGCCGCAGCGAATCGTCGTCTAGAAGGCGTACGTCTTCTGAAGTTCCTCTTCGAAAAGATTGAGGCACGAGAAGAGAGAAGAAAACGGAAGGATGAGGAGAAGTTGGCTGATGAGTTGAGCAAGATTAAGGAGCTCGTTAAGCAACCTGTGGAGCAGGAGGACGCTCTGAGACAGGCGCTATTGCAGCAGAGAGAGATTCGGATGAGAGAACGGTTGAAGGAGAAAATGAAGGCGGAAAGTGTCAAAAAGGAGAAGAAGAAGAGAAAAGAGGAGAAGAGGAAGGAGCGCAAGAGGAAGAGCAATCGACATGATAGTGAGTGGAAGTTTCAGATTTCGGAAATATGGATTTTGAAGCGAGTTATGACAATTTTAAGATGATGGCCTAGAAACCCAATTTTCGGAAAACTAGGCCATGAAGTATATGACTTCAAAGAGAAAGCTCTGAAAGTCCCAAATCAATTTTCAGATTTCCGAAATATCGATTTTGAAGCGAGTTATGACGATTTTAATTTGGTGGCCTAAAAACCCAAAACTAGGCTATATTGTTCCAAATTTGAAACGATCATAACTCGCTTCAAAATCAATATTTTCAAAATCAAAGACTTGCGTTGAAACTGTCACAGTTTGCTCTTTCAAACCATACCTAATGGCCTAACTTTTGCAAAGTTTGGGTTTCTAGGCCACCATCTTTAAATGGTAAGACTAAGCCGTGATGTATATGGTTTTGAAGAGCACACTTCTCGACAGTTCCAAATCAAATTTCAGATTTCGAAAATCTTGATTTAAAAGCGAGTTAAGAACATTTCAATTTTTGAGAAATCTGGCCTAGTTTTGGGTTTCTAGGCCACCAAACTAAAATTAGCATAACTTGCTTCAAAATCAACATTATGAAAATTTGAAAATTGCTCCCGATTTCTCAGGGTAAGAGCTTTCGAATGATATCCCGCATGGCCTAGTTTTCCGAAATTTGGATTCCTAGGCCACCATGCTAAAATTGATGTGAATCGTTTCAAAATCTAGATTTTTGAAATCTAAAAATTGATTTGAGACTGTCAAAGCTAGTTCTTTAGTATCATGCACACCATGGCCTAGTTTTTGCAAAAGTTGGGGTTCCTAGGCCACGGAGGAAAATTTTTAGGCCATCTCTAGGAAACCGATTTTTCGAGGGATTGCAATTTAAAAATCAAAATTTCCAGCTTCCTCATCCTCATCGTCTTCTGGCGACTCGGATTCTGAATCCTCCTCCACGTCATTAAAGTCAACGGATTCAGAATCTTCAGAACGGCGACGTCGTTACCGTCGGAAGCGTCGGAGCAGCGGCGAACGACGTCATCGTTCCTCACATCATCAGAAGACCAGACGTCGTGGATCATAATTTTCTAATTTTTCGGTTTTTTCCGTTTTTTCGGGTTCCTAAAATATATTCTCATCATCACTTGTTTTATTTCAGAATCTCAATTATCATGAATCTGTCTGATCTTTTTTTTCTAAATTTCTAATTTTTTGAATTTTTTCAAAACTGGTTTCATCCATTTTTATAACTTTTTAGGTTCATTTTCTCGTTTTTAGCCCAATTTTCAGCGATTTTAGGCGGAAATGGATCTTCGCTATCGGCTGACGAACGTTACCGAACGGGCGGTTTTGTTTCAGATTGCCAAGGATGTCGTAGAAGTAAAACAAATCGGTAAAATTCAAATTTTCAAATTTGAAAACTTTTTAGAACCCATCGAAATACCATAACGCGGTGCGAGAGTTTGTGGTGTCGTTGGACTGTTTTAGCAAGTTTTTGACGGATAAAGAGGTATGCGCCTTTAAATTACTTTTCCAGTTTGGTTAAAAATCGATATTTAAAGGCGCATAACTGTTTTTGTTTCCAGTTCTACAGTATCCTCCTTCCCATCCTGGACACCCAAAACCCTGCGGAATCGATAATTGGAATTTCAAAAAGCATGGCTACAGTAACTTCGCCCACATCTCATGCTAACACATTTCGAGACGTTATGACAGTACTCCAGTGGCTGAAATATCTAGTGGAAAAATTTATGAAATCAGTGATTTTTGATAGTTTAAAAGTTCGACAACCCGATGGTGAGTACCTCATGGCCGAGTTTTTGTTCTAGGCCATCCACTGTGAATTAAGGCATTTTTGGATTTTATCGATTTTTCAATAGGCTTCAAAAAAACATGATTTGACAGTCCCAAATCAGTTTTCAGATTCCAAGAATATTGATTTTGAGGCGAGTTATACCCATTTTAGTTTGGTGGCCTAGGAATCCAAAACTAGGCCATATTCTCTCAAATTTGAAATGATCGTAACTCGCTTGAAAATAAGGCTTCCATTCGGTCGGCAAATTCAGCCGACCGACCTACCACCGACCGAGCCGACCGACTACCGACCGAGCTGACCGATCGGTCGGCGTGCCAACCGTTCGAGTGCATTTGCGCGTCAGGGTGTATGCGTACACTGCATTACATTTTACGACGGACGATTTTTTAAATATTTGTTCTTTTGATTTTTCTCCTTTTTTTAGAATAAAAATCAGAAGTTTTTGTTAACAAAAATCATGCAGGTATTAAATATTCTACGAAAATCGATCCGAAGAAGAATACGGCGATTCAGTCGTTGTCTCCGTAAGCTGTGTCATATCCTGATCCAATGACTCTTTCTGCATCTCGAAAATCTTTATTTTTTTAGTATTATTGCTTATTACTGCAGTGAATATGAATTAAATTCCTAATAAAACAGTTTTTAATCTTTGAATATTGAAAAAAATCGTGCGTCGTAAAATGCGATGCAGCGTACGCATACACCCTGGCGCGCAAATGCACTCGAACGGTTGGCGCGCCGGTCAGCTCGGTCGGCTGTCGGTTGGCTGTGTCGGTGGTCGGTCGGCGGTCGGCAATTTTCGACCAACCGAAATGGAAGCCTTACTTGAAAATCAATATTTTTCAAATATGAAAATTGATTTGGAACTGTCAGAGCTTGCTCTTTAGAATCTTCTATATAATGGCCTAGTTTTTTTTTTGATTTCTGGATTTCTAGGCCACTATTTTAAAATGGTCACAAGTGGCTTCAAAATCGATATTTTCGTCTGAAAATTGATATAGAAATGTCGAATCATGTTTAACCTGAAACTGAAATCTAGGTCATGACCCAGTTTTAAGGTCATCACCTAAAAAAATCTAGGTCACGACCTGAAAATGAAATCCGGAAAACGCGCAATTTCCAGACCAAAATTCACCGTTTTCCGGCGAATTTCGACCTAGGAAAATTGCTGGCCGAGTTTTCCAAAATACTAGGCCACCAAATTTTTTCCAGAAGACCAATACTTGCTCTACCAGGAGTTCGCAAAAGCCTGCATCAATTTGCCCGAGAAAATTTCAAATTGCGAGGCGAAAGCGACGACAATGGAGCATATTCAGTTCATTCAGGGTGTGAAGGACGTTTTGAAGGTAGGTGCATGGTGGCCTAACTTTTTCTAGCGGGTTTTACTAGGCCACAAAAGTTATGAATGACCTAGATGATGTTAAATTTTAGGCCACTATAGGAGATGACCTAGAAATCCGTTCCGAAGAAAATTAGGCCATAAGATTTCAATATTAGGTAATGACCTAGTTTTTGATTATTCTAGGTCATGACCTAGATTCCAATTTCTGGGTTATGACCTAGATTTCAGTTTCAAGTTAAACAGGATTCGACATTTCTAAATCAATTTTCAGACTTCGAAAATATCGATCTTGAAGCCACTTATGAGCATTTTAAAAAAGTGGTCTAGAAATCCAAAATCAAGAAACTAGGCCATGATGTATATAAAATTCTAAAGAGCAAGCTCTGACAGTTCCAAATCAATTTTCAGATTTGAAAAATATTGATTTTCAAGCGAGTTATGATCGTTTCAAATTTTGACGAATGTTGCCTAATTTTGGGTTTCTAGGCCACCAAACTAAAATGGGCACAACTCGCTTCAAAGGTAATATTTTGGAAATCAGAAAATTGATTTGGAACTGTCAGAGCTTGCTCCTTGAAGCGATATACATCATGGCCTAGTTTACCGAAATTTGGGTTCCTAGGCCACCACTTGCTGTAAATCGCTTCAAAATCCATATTTTGAGAATCTAAAAATTGATTTGAGTCTGTCGAGCTTGCTTTTTGAATTCATGTGTATGGCCTAGTTTTCGCAAAATTTTGGGTTTCTAGGCCACCATGTTATAGATGTTCCATTTCTAGGCCACAATCCTCGATGGAATCCAACAAGCTCTCATCACCGCCCATCAACAATCATCGAAAACCGAGAATCTGAAAATCATTGCTCAGCTTATCTCGGCGGGTCGTGATATGCGAATCAACGATAAGCACCATCTTCTCGAAAGTCTTATTTTATGGATAGGGAAAATCAAAGAATGGGACGAAACCTGGGCGAAAATCATGAATATTCTGTTTTTGGAGCCCACCGAACTCGGCGTTCAAGTCCATGAATCTCTACTGACTTCTGTATTTTCATGTGCCAAAACAGATGCCACGTTGCAAAGGTGTATCGAAGCAGAGAGATTAGAAGGCGTTCTGCGAAGAGTGGTGCTCGTAAAACTGCCTTTCCAACGAATTCTGACCCCTCGAAATATCAAAATTCTGGTGAATTTCGTTCATCGAACTTGTGAAGAATCGGCAGTGGAGCTTTTGCAGGTAGGAAGTGCGCTCTATTGAGAATAAGCCCAATAGAGCAAATTTTCAGACTGCTATCCAGCTGTGGAGCGACGCCAACTACACCCGCCAGGCGTCGGAAACCCAGGAACGACATCTAGTTCGGATTATTCTCTATTCGATTTATTTGGTTCAAAAGTAAGAGAATTGGAGAAATTAAAAAAGTTAGACTATTTAAGTTTGGTGGCCTAGAAACCCAAATTTTAGTAAAACTAGGCCACTATTTATATGGTCTCAAAGAGCAGCATCTGACAGTCCGAAATCAGTTTTCAGATTCTCGAAATATTGATTTTGAAGCGAGTTATATCAATTTTAGTTTGGTGGCCTAGGAATCCAAAACTAGGCCAGATTTTTCCATAATTTGAAAAGGTCATAACTCACTTCAAAATCAAGATTTTCAAAATCAGAAAATTGATTTAGAACTGTCAACCCGTGTTCTTTAAAACCATATACACCATAGCCTAGTTTTCTCAGATCTTGGTTTTCTAGGCCATCATCTTAAAATGGTCATAACTCGCTTCAAAATCAATATTTTCGAAATTTGAAAATATTTTCAGAACTTTCATATCCTGCTCTTCAAAACCATTAAAAAATCGTGGCCTAGTTTTCTGAAATTTTTCCTAGACCATTGTCTTAAAATGGTCATAACTCGATCGAAAATCGATATTTTCAAAATCTGAAAACTGATTTGAGACTGTCAGCGTTTATTCTTCAAAATCATATATACCATGGCTAGATTTCTTGATTTTGGATTTCTAGGCCATCATCTTAAAATGGTCATAACTCGGCTCAAAATAGAGATTTTTGAAATCTTGAAATTTCAAAATTTTCCAGATCCCCCTCCCTAGCCTCCCGAATCCAATGGAACGACCTGTTCATTCTCTCAATGGACGGCATTCACTACCGTAATAATCTCATGCCGACGCATATTCAAAGTGCGCTCTATCTGACAGACGTTCTTTGTAAAATGGCGCAGAGTCAGATGCCAGAAATGGCTCCGCCCTCTCAGAATGGAAATTCTGAAGAAGTGAAAAGTGAAGGGGCGTGGCAAGAAGAGATGAAGGCGATTATGACGGATGGATGGGGAGAAGCGAAGAAGACCAAATACGTGGCAGCAGCTCCAGAAGAGGAGTCGCCCGAGGCGCATATGGAGATGGAGGGAGAGCGAGAGGACCCGGTTGGCAATATTCTGATGATCCCAGACGATGATTCGGAGAATGAGGAGGCTTCTGAAGACCTGGTAAACGACGGTGTTGTAGAAATGGAGGCTCCTCCACGCCGTCGTCTCCACCTCTTCCGCCCGGATCCTATCACCGGAGAGCGACCAGAACCATTCCTCCCTTACGTCCCTCCCCCACGTCCCCAGCTAGATTCAGATGACGATGAGGACTTTCCCACCTACAAAGTGCCAGAAGCGGAAAAGAATCTGACGAAATTGGAAACTGGAGAAGAGCCGAGAAGAAAAGTGGAGAGGGTTGTGTACATTCAGGATGCCTTTGAGAAATTATTGGAGAAAGAGAGATATGAGATTTTCGAGGAGGCCTTGTACAGTTTGAAGGAGCTTATCGAGCGAGAAGCGATTGGATTTGCGGACATTGCTGAGAAATTGTTCGTGCGGTTGATCAATTTGCAGGTGAGCTGGGAATCGATGGAAAATGACCCAGAAAATCTTGGAAATTAACTCAAAAACCATGAAAATTGACCTAAAATTCATGAGAATTGAGCCGAAAATCATGAAAATGAGCTAAAATTCATGAAGAATGGCGCGAACGAAAAAATTTTTTTTTGAAATTTACCTAAAAATCATGAAAAATTGTTCGAAAATTCATGGAAAATCACCTAAAAATCATGGAAAATCGGTCCAAAGATGCATGAAAAATAGCTCGAAAATCATGAAAAATCACCTGAAAATCATTGAAAATCGGTCCGAAATCATGAAAAATGACCCAAACTTCATGGAAATTTACTCAAAAATCTTACGATTTTCGGGTCGTTTTTCATTACTTTCAGGCTGAAAATCATGAAAATTAACTCAAAATTCATTGAAAAATGGTCTAAAAACTACGAAAATTTACCTAAAAATTATGAAAAATATTCAATTTTTCCAATTTTTCAGAATCTCTTCGGCACGAAAAACTTTTCGGAAACGTGCGATCTATGTGCCCTATTGTGCATCAAGCACCGCCCACAAATCGTTCCGGCGCTGGTCCGGCTGATTTTGTCTCCGGGACAGGGACTCCAGAAGCAAAATCATCTATTGCATCTGATTCATCGAGCCGCCGACGAGCTGGGCACTCTGGATCCGGGAAGTGAGAACTCGATGCTTCAGCAGGTAAAATTGCAGAATTTTGGGGAAAAAATCGGCGAAAATCCCTGAAAAACCTGAAAACGGCGTCCAAAAACGATTTTTTGATCCAAAATTTATTTTTTTTCCTCTTGTCCGAGTGGACTACACGACGAAATTTCTTAGTGGAGCGCGCTTACAACCCCGCGAACTTTTTTAGTTCAAAAATTTTTTTCTGCTTTTTCAAGCAATTCGATGTCTAAAAGCCATTTTTATCGGATTTTATCATACTTGTAACGGGCCGGGCCTGTCATTCCACAAGTTTTGAAAATTTCAAAAAACAAAAAAAAAATTTGTTTTCGAGTTTTTTTTTGATATTTTTTGATCAAACAGACAAACAATCCAAAAATCACAAAAAATATATAAAAAATTGTATTGAGAGCTCAAAATTCGGTTCAAAATGACAAAATTTTTGCTACCGGGCCTTCCGGGCCGGGCCCGGGCCTTGAAATTTTCTTCAGGCCCGGCCCGGGCCCGGGCTTTGACGGGCCGGCCCGGAATTTTACAAGTATGGATTTTATTGTTTTTTGCAAGTAACCCCTATAAAATCGATGAAACTTCATAGAATTTCCTAGATTTTTTTCTGAAATTTCTGAAAATTCGATTTTCCAGGAATTCATATTCGAAGCGATTACAATGGAGGGCTTGACACAAGCGACTCGGCGAGGTCCAGAAGAAATAGGGCCCGGTTTGGCAACTACTGCTCATGAGAGTTTGCTGAAAAGAACGCGGCGATTCGGGACACGGCAGAAGCCAGCGATCGGAAGTGTTAATCAATTATCGAGGAACGCCAAGTACATGTTCTACCCGTTGTTGGTGATACCGAGAGGAGACAATGCGGGGCTTTTTGTTAGTTTTTCATCTTTTAAATGGCTTGAAAATCCATGAAAAATGACACAAACTTTGTCGAAATTAACTTGAAAATCATGAAAATTCGGAAAACAAAAGATTGAAAAATCTGGCGAATAACCCAAAAAATCATGAAAAATAACCTAAAAATCATGAAAATTGACTAGAAAATCATGAAAAATAACCCAAAAATCATGAAAATTGGCCCAGAAAGTCATGATTCATGACCACGAAAAATTACCTCAAAATCCAAAAAACATAAAAAATGATCCAAAAATCTTTTTAAAAAACCCGAAATTCCTGAAAAATCGGTTCAAAATCATGAAAATTGCCCCAGAAATCATAAAAAATGACCAAAAAGACGATTTTCCAGACCAAAGACTCTGATCTGCTCGCCTACATCATTATGATTGCCTCAATGGTCTATGTCCGTTGCGGTGTCACCGAGCAGACCGCCCGAATGTCTACGTAAGTGTTTCTGTGTGAAAAATCATGAAAAATGACCCAAAATCCAGAAAAAAAGGCTGAAAATCGAGGAAAATTCGTCCGGATGTCCAAAAATCACATTTTTTTTCAGAGAACTCATCGCCTACGCGGCACCCCATCGATTTTCGGAAAATACGAAACTTCGCTCTGCCAGCCTAGCCGCCTATCTTAATGTGTTGTGTACGGTACCTGCTGGGGTAGGAATAATAGCGGGAAATTTGAAAATTTTCAAAAAATGAGGGTTTTTCAGCTTCTCCGAGAGATATTTCCTCAAGAAATCCGTCAAGAATGGATGGATTGGGCTGAGGGGATTCAGAGATTCAAGGATTCTACAGAATTGGAATTCACCATGGCACATCAAATGGAGTCGATTCTAAAGGCACGCGCACAACAATACGAGGAGATTAGTGTCTTGAATCTGTGATTTTTATAGCATTCCTTTGTATTTTTTTAATTTGCTGGTTTTTATCCAATAAATTTATCGATTTCTGCGAAAAAGTGCATTGAAATCCCAAGAAAAACGGCCTAAAAATCAATAAACAGACTATCGTCGTAAAGTGTGGCGCATTGTACGCACACGCAGACACACACACACACCACATGCACACAATATCTCCTACAGTAACCCGCCGGAAAAACGATTTTTGCAATGGAAAAAAAAACAAATAAATTTCATTAAAATCAAGAAGGAAGGAGAAGAAAAAAGACCCGTTAAGATACATAACATGAAAAATCATAAAAATAGGACAAGAATTTTCAGAATACAAAAAAAAAAGAAGTCATCAATTTGAAGAAGTTCCAGACTCGCTAGATTTGGCTCGGCCCACATACAAATCGATCAAGTTGAGCTGAAAAATATGAAAACTGAAAAATCGTTGAAAAACGCGAAAAAATCTCGGAGATTCGTCTATTTTTGACTTTTTTGCTTAGATGGCCTAGGAACCCAAAACCAGTAAAAACTAGGCCATAAAGCACCTGACTTTGAAGAACAAGCTCTGACAGTCTCAAACCAGTTTTCAGGTTTCGAAAATATTGATTTTGAAGCGATTTACAGCAATTTTAAAGTGGTGGCCTAGAAAACCAAAATCAGTAAAAACCAAGCCATAAAGTACCTGACTTTGAAGAGCAAGCTCTAGCAGTTCCGAATCAATTTTCAGATTTCCAAAATATCGATTTTTTAGCGAGTTATACCCATTTTAGTTTAGTGGCCTAGGAACCCAAAATCAAAAAAACTAGGCCATGATATATAAGATTCTAAAGAACAAGCTCAGACAGTTCCAAATCAGTTTTCAGATTTCTAAAAGGTTGATTTTGAGCCGAGTTACGACTATTTCAAATTTGGGAGAATATGACCTAGTTTTGGATTCCTAGGCCACCAATCTAAAATGAGTATAACTCTCTTCAAATTCAATATTTTCGAAATCTGAAAATTGATTTGGAACTGACACATCGTGCTCTTTCAAAAAATATACAGCATGGCCTAGTTTTCTCGGTTTCGGATTTCTAGGCCATCGTTTTAAAATTATCATAACTTGCTTCAAAATCAGTATTTTTGAAATATGAAAATTGATTTTGAATTATCGAATTGTGTTCTTCATGGCCATATATAGAATGGCCTAGTTTTTTCAGGCTTGGTTTTCTATGCTATCATTTCAAAAGTGCTATAACTAGGCCTCCAAAAAGCTCACCTTTGTCGCATTCAATTTTCTCAAATGCGTCTCCAATCTGGGCATCCCAACGCGTTGTACCAATGCAACAAGTCCAAAAACGGCACATTTCCTGACTGAAGAAGACGTCGAATCGTAGGCAGACACAAAACATGGCGCCACGTCATCAACAATCATGTGCAATTCGTCGACATCAATGTCCTGGAACATTCTAGTCAACATCTTCAGAATCAGCACTCCTCGTTGATCATCGTCATCCTGAGACAGAATTCTTCTGGAGATTTGAACGATACGTGGCAGTGGAAGATGTGTGGCAAGAATTCGAAGACAGTCTTCGGCTGCCACACTCATCGTATTGTCTTCTGAAGTGCAAGCGCATTGGAGCACCTTTGAAATGGCGATTTCTGTGGAGTCGAAGAGCTTGGTGGCTTGCGCGGTGCACATTTTTTGGAGAATTCGCATGGCGAGCTTCTTCCGAATTGATTGGGATAGTGTGGAGAGAATCTGGAACCTTTTTTGTGAATTTTATTTAAAAACATGATACATTTGAAAACAAGATGCATTTTGTTTTCGAACAATTTCTTGAGAAATTCTGATACTTTTTTCGAGTTATACCCATTTTAGTTTGGTGGCCTAGAAAAAAATTTAGAAAAACTAGGCCATTGTGTATATCATTTTGAAGAGCAAGCTCTGTAAATCTCAAATCAATTTTCAGATTCTCAAAATATTGACTTCGAAGCGAGTTACGCCCATTTTCGTTTGGTGTCCTAGGAGCCCAAAACAAGGCCACATTTTCCTAATTTTATATGATCACAACTCGCTTCAAAATCAATATTTTTGAAATCTGATAATCAATTTCAAATAGCCGGATTCTGTTCTTCAAAACCATATACACAATGACCTAATTTTCTCAACATAATTTTTCTAGGCCACCATGTTAAAATGGCCTAGAAATGACCTTACATGCACCTGTCGTGTTTTCTAGGTCATTTGAAGTGGTGGTCTAACTTTTGAAAATTGAGTTTTCTAGGTTACCATGGTAAAATGACCTAGCAAACACACCAGGAGCATGTCAGACCATTTCTAGGGCATTTTAACGTGGTGGCCTAGAAAACTGAACCTGCAAACGTTAGGCCATAGTTTACATGTCTTCAAAGAGCATGATTTGACAATCCTAAACCAGTTTTCAGACTCTCAAAATATTGATTTCGAAGTTATACCCATTTTAAGTTCGGTGGCCTAGGAACCCAAAACTAGTCCACATTTTTCCAAATTTGAAATTATCATCACTCGCTTCGAAATCAATATTTTCGATGTCTGAAAATTGATTTGGAACTGTCAGAGCTTGCTCTTTAGAATCGTATATACCATGGCCTAGTTTTTTGATTTTGGATTTCTAGGCCACTATTTTAAAATGGTCTTAAATCCCTTTAAAATCGAGATTTTCAAAATCAAAATGTATTTGTAAATGCATTTTTTGAGGAATGTTTTTTTTTTGAAAAGACATCCTGCTCCTTACCTGATAAATCTCATCCAACAACTCATCGAAAAACTGATTCCAAAGTGTGAACGATCCCTCACACATCATGCCATGAAGATTTGCCATCGCCTCGTTTACCCTATCTGGCTTTTGGAAATCTCTCATCAAATCCATCTGATTCCGAATGTAGGCGGCCTGTTCCACATGATTTTTGGCAAGGTGTACTGTAGGTTTACGGTAGTCTTGAGGCTCAGGGACTCGAGTAGCCTCATAGGTAGAGAATGAAGCCTTCACCGAGACTTTTTCGAACTTCTCTACTTCCGGCGGACATGGCTTGTAGTTGTTGTTGGTCATGCTGAAAAATTTGAATTTTCAGAAACTTTTTCAAGAAAAGATTAATTTACGTAATTGCCTCTTTCTCCATAATTTGCTGTCGTTGAGCACTTTGTTGCTGACCGTTGAGTTGGAGAATACGGTAGGCCCAATCGCGGCATTCTGGTGGGAGATCGCCAAAAATCATGGTGAAATCGGCTGCGTTCAGAGCGAAGAGAGCGCATACAAGACGTTCACAAGCCTGGAAATTCGAGAAAATAGGTAAATGATATTCAAAATCGGATCAAAAATACGGTAGCACTATTGCGAAGTTGAAGGACAGTCCGCGCACGAAGGTTCACCAAACTTTGACCCAATTTATATTGCTTCCTCTTAGAGATATCAAAAAATGATCAACTGATAAAATGTTTGTGATATTATGTTAAAATGTTGTGAGTTGACCACTTTTTGATATCTGTTATAGTAAGGATAAATTAAGTCAAAGTTAGGATAGCCTTCAAGTACATGTCGAGCTCGCGTACGAAGATCCCCCAACTTTGATCTTCTTTATTTCAGTTTTTTTAAAAGATATCAAAAAGTGTATAACTAATAAAACGTTTTTGGTTTCATGATAAATGGTTTATCAGTTGACCAATTATTGATATCACTTACAGGAACCGAGATAAGTTAGCTTGAAGTCACCCTTCACGGAGTTCGCGGAGTACCGCACCCTCAACTTTGACCCCATTTATCCCATTGCCTTTGAAATATATTAAAAATTAATTAACATATAAAATGTTACTGATAATGTGATGAAAATTTTGTTAGTTGACCACTTTTTGATATCTGTTAAAAGAGCCGAGATAAATTGGGTCAAAGTTGGCACCCCTTTTTTATCGCGGTATTCACGCCAGCCCTTTCTTCGGCTCGAACTTTTGCATCGCTTCAAAAACCACTCACCGGCATCAAAATAGCTCCGATCCTTGGATCAAACATCCACGCAAACATCTTCCTCACCGCCGCACGTGTATAAGGTGTATCCAATTGTGTCTGCCTCTCCAAACATCTCGGATCCTCCGGCCAGATCTCCTCGAACAAAAGGCAAATGTATTCGAGCAACGCTAGCCTGGATTTCGGTGCCAAAAGATGCACAGGATCACACATAAAATCGCAAACCTCCTTGAGTTGAGTAGATGGGTCGAACGTGGTTAGGAACATTTTTTGGGTTGAGGAAAGAGCGGATTTTACATTAGGAAGTGAATCAGCGCCCATCTTGGCGAAAAGCTTGCCTAGGGCAAGTTTTAGCCAGCCATCAAGTTTCTTATAGTGGCATTTGACGAAAATTGAGATGGTCTCCAGAATCGAAATGATGAGAGTAGTGTTTCCTTCAGCTAGAAGACGTGATAAGGTGTCCCCGATATTTTTGCATTCTAGAGAATCCAAATTCCGATCAAGGAGTTTTTGTGACAGGGAGATGATAGCATCTCGCTTTTCATTGATTGACGAGCTGGTGCATGCTTTGAGAATGTGTTCGACGCTTTGGATAGAGTTGTTGGAAGAGTTATTGGAGCCATTTGATCCGTTCCCATAGCCACGGGCATAAAGCGACGCTGGTGGTGATGTCTCCTTGGGTGGCGTTTTGCGAACTTCCGCTAGCAAAAACTCATCGTCTTCGTTGTTTTTCGACATTTCGTCTTTCGCCAAATCCATTGCGTTTTGAAGGCTACTCGCTTGCTCTTGAGTTAGTGAAGCTACGAAAGAGGAACTTCCGAGATTTGAAGCAACGCGTTGGATGGGGGTCTGATGTGTGGAGGTTGAGGGGGAGGAGCTTGACGATTTGTTGTTGTTGTTGTTGTTATTGTTGAAGTTGGTGCCTGCAAAAGATTGGTTTAAAATTACCTACAGTAATCCAAAAACAGATTTCTATACTTATTCGGAAGCTCTTTTCATGCTAAATCGATTGATGTCGATTTCCATTCTCTGGGATTATTGGAGCTCGAGAAACGGTACTTTTAGTGAAGCAGGTAAAACTACAGTAACCGGAGAAGGGAAATCGTGCGCCGAGAACCATCTAGAACCTCTAATTCTTGCTGAAAACAAAATCAAAAAAATTTGCCGCCGGGTGGAACCGAACCTTGGTGTTAAGTTTCCATGTCCGAAAATCCACTAGGCCACCCAGGCAAATTTTTGAAAAATCTTGATTTTTGAACTTTTTATAGGTTTTCAGCGGTTTTAAAATTAATCTTTTAAATTAAAATTAAAAAATTAAAATTAATTAGCCGGTCGTCGACCAATGGATGGCGCGCACAAAAAAGTGTCGACTTAGACCCAATTTATCTTGATTACTGTGAACGATATTAAAAAATAGTCAACTAGCAAAATGTTTAACCTAAAGCCAGAAACATTTTGTTAGTTGATTACTTTTCGATATCTTTTACAGGAACCGAGATAAGCTGAGCCAAAGTTGGAACCCCTGTTGCGTGCGCCATTGGTCGTGCCCGGCGAGCTGGATTTGACTTTCAGTATTTTTTTTCTGGATTTTTAACTGATCATCTATCTAACTTATCAAACATTACCGAAATAATGGAAAATTCAAGAACCCCTTACCTCCAAACCCGTCACTCGGCGTCTTAGCTCTCGATTGACCATAGCCACTGGATCTGACAGCTGCTGAAAAATAATCATTTTTTGCAAAAAGCAAAACCCTTAAAACTAACAAAAGCTAGAAGACGTTGAAGACTTTGGAAGTCGATTATTCACTGGCATCGCAGTGGGTCTAGATGGATTGGATTGTTGTGGCTTAGCAATGGATAACACTTGAGATTTATTGTCCAGTGCAGATGCGGATCGTTGGGATAAAAACTCTGAAAAAGAGATAATTCGAGGGGATAATTAGGGAGTAATTAATCTCACTTTGACTAATATTCTGTTGTGGCTGCTGTGGTTGCTTTTGATTGTTATTGTCTCGATCGCTGTTGAGACTTGATGAGGAGGATGAGACGCCGTCGCGAAGCATTTTTTGTTTGGCCGGGTCTAGTTCCTGAGAGATGATTAGTTTAAATATATAAATTGATGGAAAATATGTAAAATTGTATAGTATTCATTTTTGTAGTTGACAAAATTTTGATAGCTTTTTTGGGTTTTAAGATATAACGCTTAAGAGTTGACATGCGCCTTACAGGGCCTGGGCCGTCGCGTCGATTTTGACTGGCCGACTCATAACTCGGTTGAAAATTTGAATTCTGTTTCAAATCAGAAATTAAACTGTAGAACTTAACAAGAGCTAAAAAATGATATATAATTTGACTACATTTGAATGTTGAATTTTGCGCCAGGGATCCCAAAAGAAGGGCTACCCGAATTTTGAAGACATAGTTGTTTCACAACCTCTACTTTGAAACTAGATGTTGAAATATAGTTGAATTTAATATCAGTTTGTAGCTCATTTTAAGTGCTTTATGTTACTTTTTAGCTGAACAAAAAATTCCAATTTTGAGCTGAGTTATGAGTCGACGCGTAGTGGGGGCGGGGTCGACGCTAACGAGGTCGGCGCCCATGGATGCCGATTTCGCCTACCCGCCTTTCACCATCTCTGACTCAAAACTCGGATTTCAAATATAGCCAAATTTTATATCATTATGTAGATCTCATTTTTTTCTACATTTTGATATATTTTTTCGTACAGAAGTTCCAATTTTGAAGAAAGTTACGCCCTTTTTGAAGCATGACATGCTCAGAAAACTTTAATTCACCACGTTGTATCTCTAACACCAAATAAGCTACAAGATTTTGGTCCACCACAAAAATATGTGAAATTTCAAGCCATTCAAAAGTACCAACCCTAAAAATCTGATCCGCCGCTGCTCCATGCAACTGCTCCAACTTTGCAAACGCCTTCCGCCCAGCCACTCGAGTCTCTCCATCAGCATCGCAAATCGCATTCTGCACAAGCTGAGAAATCGATTTCAAAATCGGTTGTTTGACTTTAAGGTCCCAGGAGGAGATTAGAGTTTCCAAAAGGTTAGCAAGTTGACGTCTTTGTTCCTTGGATTTTGAGGTTGAAAGATCGAAAAGGGTTTGGAAGATTTGGCGGGTTTGGATTTTCTGAAATAAAGGAAACATAATTTTGATGCTCATATATATCCGAAGATGTTGGGGTACCTGCACAATAAAAACTGTCAATGTTGCCGCACTTGAAGCCATGATTTTGGTACTGACTGCCACTTGAGCTAGTGCTGCAGGCAGGACGCATTCAGCCACATTCCTCACATCCATGCCAAAATGTTCAAACAAGAAACTACAGGTTATAGCGGCTTCTCGAACAATCTGCGATCTCAAATCTCGAATCGAAAATTCCAGGGCATCTGCCAACTCATTGATCAACGAAAGTAGAAGACGTTGATCTATGGAGTCGTCGGAATTCAGAATCACCGATCTTATCAGTTTCAGCTGATTGGCCCGCTTGCTCCAGTCCTCGTTGGCGTTTCGGAGTACCGAATTTGCGGTTTCAAGCTTCTCACGAACGTCAGAATTGGAGTAGATGGACTGTAAAATGATTGTGGATAATGATTGTGGATAAAACTGAAAGAATTAAATTTCCGAACTCACAATTTTGGGGACTGCATTGAAAGCCTTCTTAAAATCATCAAGAGTAATTGCACATTGAGCTGCTGGCGCACAACTCGAGCTTCGATATCTGGACAAGGACATCCCAGCAGGTGCTCGAAGAGAGCTCCTAGCCAAGTCTCTTGACCGACCATTAGCCGCCGGAAGAGATAAAGGAGATGGAGTTGAAGGAGAGGGGGACAATGATGGAGCATTGGTTCTCGGAGGCGTTGAAAGACGAGCGGATGATGTGAATGAGGTTGTTGAGGCAGATGGATGAATGATTTTTGCGGGTGAGCGTAGAGAGCGGCGGAGGAGGTTGTTCCTTGGGATGGAGGACGTTTCGATGGGGATTGAGTGTTTCGGAGGGAGGTCTCCTCGAGTAGCTATCGTGGATTCATAGCGTTGGAGGAGTGTAGCCATTCTGGAGAGTGAATGAGCTTTGTTGGATCAATGAGCATTGAATTTGTAGGATTTAAGCCTATTTTAAAGGGTGTGGGAAATCAAAACGTTCAAGGTTCAGCGGCAAACAAGTTTGCAACCGCACAGCTCTGCCGGTAGCCGTTAGGCCCCCAACAAAGTAGGGTCTTCTGATCATAAACTTTAACTTGATTTATCTTGGTTCCTGTGAAAGATATCAAAAAACAACCAACTAACAAATGACTTGCCATAAAGTTTAAAACATTTTGTTAGTGGATCACTTTTTGATATCTCTTACAGTAACCGAGATAAATTGGGTCAAAGATAGGAGAGCCTTCAGTCGCGAACAAAAACTGTAGGGTCCCCCAAACTTGACCTAATGTATCTCGGTTTCTGTAAAAGATACAAAAAAGTTGTAAACTAATAAATGTTTTTCGTAATTAAAAAACATTTTGTTAGTTAAATACTTTTTGATATCTCTTACAGTAACCGAGATAAATTAGGTCAAAGTTAGGAGAGCCTTCGGTCGCGAACCAAGTCTGTAGGGTCCCCTAACTTCGACCTATTTTATCTCCGTCCCTGTGAAAGATATCAAAAAACAACCAACTAACAAATTACTTGCCATGATGTTTTAAACATTTTGTTAGTCGATCACTTTTTGATATGTCTTACAGCAGCCTAGATAAACTGGTTCAAAGTTAGGAGAGCCTTCGGTCGCGAACTGGTGCACTCCGCCTTAGTGCCCCCTAAATTCAGACGCGTATTTATATCTTATAAACTAAAATAGCTAGCAAAATTGTGTCAAAAGCAAAAATTTAGAAAATTTTATAAGCTATATTTTTGTAATTAATCACCATTTGCTGTCTTCATTGGTTTTTAAGATACAGATCTTTTGAAAAGGTTTCTGTAGAAACTGGCATAGAATAGCTCTTACATTTGACCTAGTTTATCTCGGTCCCTGTGAAACATAATAAAAAGTTGTCAGTTGATAAAATTTTTCATAATTCAAAAAATATTTTGTTAGTTTATACCTTTTCGATATCTTTTAGGGACCAAGATGAATTGGGTCAAAGTTAAGGATACTGCAAATTCAGTGGAATACAGATTTGGCAAAAAATTAGAGATTTCAATTTTTGTGAAACAATTTTTTCAAATAATTGAAATAGGTTTTTCCAATTTCAGGTTTTTGGATCCTTCAAAACCGAAAAAGTTTCGAAAAACCAGAAAATCATAAAATGGTCTTCATCATTCCGTAAAATATATTAACATCGAGTGGTGACTAGAGTATGTAGAGCGTAAAATGATTCGAGAACCCCCTTCTGTACATTCCGAATATTCATAATCTGAATCCTCTTGTTCATTTCTTTTCCCCTCTCTTTCTCTTCATCTCTCCTCTAATCACACTATTTTCGATTCCGAAAATGAATGCGTTTACGGGGAAAAGAGAAGGAAATCGTCTTCTTGTCAAGAAGACGATTTTGCATACTCGTATAGTTGATCAAGGAGAATAGGATTACCGAAATTTGATTAAAAATTTTTGTTTGAAATGGAAATTCCGGGGTTCTGTGAACATTGAGATGTGCGCCGGGGGTACAGCCTCGTCTCACTTAAGAGGACAGTATATCTTTCAATGCGCTTAGCTCAAAAACGACAATAGCTAGCAAAAAAGCTTCAACTACAAACTTGTAGAGAATATCATTTCATATATTTTTGTAGTGAGCACAATTTTGCTAATTGCTGTAGTTTTAGAGATATGCGCCTTTAAAGTTGAGATACGGTAAAGGAGACGATCAGATCGTTGAACCTCGCTATTTTTCAAGGCGCATAGCTCAAAGTCCAAAATAGCTAGCAAAAAAGCTTCAACAACAAACTTGTAGAAAATAAATTTTTGCATATTTTACTAATTAACACTTTTTTGCTAGCTTTTGGGGTTTTAGAGATATGCGCCTTTTAAGCTGGGAGAGCGCTTTATCTCTTTCGAGTTTAAACCAAAAACTCACTTTTGCTCGTTTAAAATCCTTGTATTTGCGATTTTTGCAATTATTGACTTTCCACCGAACACCATCAGATCCACCAAACAATTTGTTGATGCATCACGGACTTCAGAATTCGGATCGTTCGTCAGACGGCATAGTTGGGGAATCAGGTTGATGGCTTGGGGGATTACCAATGCGAAACTGAAATTGAATTTTTACACAATACATCTCGGTTCCTGAGAAAACTATCAAAAATTTGTCAACTGATGAAATGTTACTGATAATATGATAAATATTTTATTAGTTGACCACTTCTTGGTATCTATTACAGAAACCAAGATACATTGGGTCAAAGTTAGGGGACCCTACAGAATTTGATCGCGTTTGAAGGCTCTCCTAACTTTCACCCAATTTATTCCAGTTTCTGTAAAAGTTGACCACTTTGTGATATATTTCTTATCAACCGAGATAAACCAGCTCCAAAAATTCCAAGCTCACCTGTCACTCAAAAAATCTCTCAAAATATTCAATGATCCAACTTTCACTAGCCACTGTTTATGCTCAAATCCTGTTCCATGCACACATAATCGGTCGAGGAGCATCTGCAAAAAAGTTAGCATAAAAAAAAGATGAAGCAGAAATCTAGCAAAAAAATCTTGACGGTTACAAGTCCGAACTTCAACCGTATCCCTCTCGAAGGGTCTATAATCTTTGACCTAATTTATTTCGGTCCTTTTTGAAAATATCAACAGATGATCAACTAATAAAATGTTGCCGGTATTATGCCAAACATATTATCAGTAGACAATTTTTGGATATCTCTCACATGAACCGAGATAAATTGGCTTAAAGAAGGCTCCAATTAAAAAATTGCTTACCACCGGCGACGAATTTTCCAAATAAGCCAATTGTCTACACAAGTTAATGGCCATTTCCCGAACTTGCACTTTCGCATCTCCCATTCTGAAAGTAATCCTTAATTATCCATCTTCAATTAACCCTAATTACCTCTCAATTAACACTGACAACCTATCAAAGTAGTAGCTAGCCAGTACTTCTGGAGACGTTCGGAGAGCGGCATCCAGGATTTCTAGACCAATTATCGTTACCTAAAATTAATAATTAATCATCACTGATTAATTGATAAAGAAATTTCAAAAATTTTTGTTCGCTACTGATAAGAACTGATACCTTAAAATTGCTGCCGGTCAGCCAGCCGGACATGACGTCAAGGAAGTCATTGACCAGTTTTGGGTGTGGTGACACTTTTCGTTGGGAGATCTCGTTCTGGAATTTTTCCAATTTAGACAAATTTAATATCATTTTGTAGCCCTTTGCAAGGACTACATTTTGTTTTTTGTCCAATTTTAAATTTCAATATCAAGCAGAGTTATGGGTCGACGCGTAATTCAGAGCCAATGAGGTCGACCCGTTTCGTCTACCCGTCATTTTTACCATCTTAGAGTTAAAATTCATTAATCAAATATAGTCAAATTTAATTTCATTTTGTAGCTCTTTTCAACTTCTATATTTTCCTTTTTAGGTTATTTTGAAATTCCAATTTTGAGTCAAGTTATGGGTCGGCGAGTAGTGAATACCTAATTGGTGCCCCAGGTCGCCCAATTTTGGCTAGTCGCCTTTTAGCACCTCTGGGTCAAACTTTTCTTTTTTCTAATATAGTCGAATTTAATATCATTTTGTAGCTTTTCTTAAGCCCTACACTCTGCTTTTTAGTTCAATTTAAATTTCCAATTTTGAACCGAGTTATGGTTTTTCAACTGACCAGTATCACATTTCCGAGCTTTAGCCGTTCCAACGGATCCGCTGTACTCTTTTGCAATAGCACGTACAACCAGTTGGTGTCCATTTTGTGTTTTAAGCTGGCATTGATACCTGAAAATGCGAGAGTATGGAAAATGAGGAGGGTGCAGAGAAAGAGAGAGAGAGAGAGAGAGAGAGAGAGAGAGAAATCTTTGAAGCTCTGTATCTCGAGAACCAGAAGCGCTACAAGAAAGTTGTCAATCGACAATATCCAGGAAATTTTGTGCTCTACATTTTAAAAAAATTTTAATGTTTTTAGCTTTTATAGATTTTGAGATACAAGGATTAAATTAAAAAAAAGACTACCCAGGGTGATTTAACTTCGACAGAATTTATCTCGGTTCCTGTAACAGATATTAAAAACCTGTCAACTGATAAATGATTATCATTTTATGCTTAACATTTTATCAATTAATTTCTTTTTGAGAGCTCTTACAGAAATCGAGATAAATTGGGTCGAAACTCGAGGTTGCTTTTCGAAGCACACCTCTGAATCATTTCACAAATAAAAGCGGAGAAAATTCGAAATTTGTCGAGAAAAGTGCAATGAAAAAAAAACTGTGTTCGTCTTGCATATTTATTCATATTTTTGGGCCAATAAAAAATTTTTATTAGCAAAATATTTGCAATATATTTTCAACATAAATCGGGAGCAACGATAGACAGAAATGGAGAGTGTGGAAATCCGGATATCTGGAAAACTAAATAGAATGAAAAATTCAAAATTTTGTTTAAAAAATGTCAAGGGGGTAAAGTGAAAAAATGTGTTTGAGACAAGTATTGTTTGCTCAACATGACCCCATTGCAGCTGGAAAAAAACTAAATAATCGTCTTAAAATTTTGATGACGACAATTTTTTATACAATTTCAGAAATAGCCAAAAAAAAATAGTATCGACTTTGAATTTCGAAAAAAAAATACAAAAAATTTTTTTTCAACCATCTCTCGCTCTTGTAACTTTTGAAATTTTAGAGTTATCGAAAAATGGTCAACAAAGAGCTTTAATTTGTCAGTTAGCGGTTTTTTAATAGCTAGCTTGGTTTTCGAGATATTGAGAGTTTTGTCGCTCAGCTTTGTGGTCAAGCTGTTGCGCGCGCACTATTTTTATACGCGTCCACTTTAAAGGCGCATATCTCAAAAACTAAAATAACTAACAAAAAAGAAATATACACAAAAATGTAGGAAATTTGATGAGCTATATTTTACTAATTGGCAACTTTTTATTAGCTAGCTTGGTTGTTGAGATAGCTAGAGTTATAGCCCGCAGCCTATTGGCCACACTGCGCGCACTAACTTCAAAAGGCTCAACTTTGAAGGCGCATATCCCAAAAACTAAGATAGCTAAGAAAAAAGGAATAAACACAAAAGTGTAGGAAATGTTATGAGCTATATTTTGGTCGCACACAAAAATTTAGTATCTTTATTGGTTGTAAAGATACAAACCTAGTAAAGAGGCTACTTTAGAAACGGGGCCCTTATACTTTCCCCAATTTATCTCGGTTCCTGGGAAAGATAGTAAAATGTAGTCAACTAAAAAAGTTTGCAAAATGTTAAGAGCTATATTTTACTGATTACCACTATTTGGTATTTTCAAAAAAAACTGAGATGAAGCGGGTCAAAGTTAGAGGTGCCCTTCTACAAACCGACTGAAGGGCACCCCAAACTTTGACCCAATTTATCTCTGTTCCTGTTAAAGATATCGAAAAGTGTTCAACTAAAAAAATGTGTAACATTTTAAGAAATATATTATTGTAATTAAAAGTTTTTTATACCTATACCATCAATCAAGATGCGGGGAGTTAAAGTTCAAGAACCCTTCTACAGGCCGAGCGCGCGACAAAAGGGCACCCCAAACTTTGATCTAACTTATCTCGGTTCTTGGAAAAGATATCAAAAAGTGGTTAACTAACAAAATGTGTACAATTTTAGGAGCTATATTTTAATAATTGACAGTACTCTGTTATCTTTTTCAGTTTTTGAGATAATTTGAAACAAGATCCTTGGATAGTAAAACTAGACTAAAACCAGTTTCAAAAGCTTTTCGAAATGTGTTAAAAACGGTGCAAAACCGGGGAGGGGGGAGACCAGGCGCCTCCTAATCCATTCAGTCAACTGAACATCCATTCCTTTTGATTCTCCTTTTCCTTCCGACAGTTTCTGGGCGTCACCCCTCCTGAATATGTCTAGCCACTCTCCTCAAACTACACATTATTTCTCGCCGCTTCTCTCATTTTCCAAAAAGTCCAATGGCAAACATCAGTCACCTTGAGAGAAAGGGTTTAAAGATTTTGGAATAGGAAGCAAGACAGAGAGAGAGAGAGAGAAAAAAATGAATGAAATTGAAGGCGAATTTTTGCATAATGTGATACAAATATATAAGAGTGTGACTCATATGAAAAATGGCTTGAATTGTTGTAGAAAAATGAGAAGAAGAAGAAGTAATGTTTGTGTTGTTTGTGTAAGTGTTTGTTGTACGAACGGGAAAAAGGGGGAGAAGAAAATGAGAGGAGAGAGAAGAGAAGAGCAACAAAAAATGATAAGAAGTGATTTGGTGGGACAGGGAAATAAGAGAGGGAGAAGAAAATTGTTGAAACGTCTGGAGTTGAGTTTACAATGAATGACATTTTCTGAGTTGTCAAGAAAAAATGTTTGGGTCCTCTCAGCCTCTTTGAGCCCAATTATCTCGGTTATGCATAACTCGGCCTGTACTGGAAGGACTCTTAACTTTGAGCTAAATTATCTCAGCTCCTTTACAAGATAAAAAAAAATGTGTTCATTGATAACATGATTGTCATAAAATTTTAACATTTTAACAGTTGACAGCTTTTTGATATCATATATGGGAAGCGAGATAAATCGGGTTAAAATTTACAGTGTTGAATTTTGCTTAAAAAAATTTTCAAGTTGAAAAAAATTGAAACTTCAGAACGAAAAAAAAAATAAAACAATTAAAAATCTCAAAGAATCGAAATTTTGAAAATTCCAGAAATCGAATACTAAATTCTGAAAATTCTAAAGAATTAAAAAAAAAATTCAAAAATTCAGAAATTCAAAAATTCAGAAATTCAGAAATTCAGCAATTCAGAAATTCAGAAATTCAGAAGTTCAAAAATTCAGAAAATCAAAAATTCAGAAATTCAGAAATTCAGAAATTCAGAAATGTAGAAATTCAGAAATTCAGAAATTCAGAAATTCAGAAGTTCAGAAATTCAGAAATTCAGAAATTCAAAAATTCAGAAATTCAGAAATTCAGAAATTCAAAAATTCAGAAATTCAAAAATTCAGAAATTCAGAAATTCAGAAATTCAGAAATTCAGAAATTCAGAAATTCAGAAATACAGAAATTCAGAAATTCAGAAATTCAGAAATTCAGAAATTCAGAAATTCAAAAATTCGGAAATTCAGAAATTCAGAAATTCAGAATTCAGAATTATGCTTGGCACGAAATCCAGCTGGATCGACCAAAAGGGTCGGTATTTTTCGTTTTCAGCAATTTTAAAAAAGTGGTATACAGTAGTCGACTGAGCGAAATAGGCTCCGCCCCTTTTTTCTGTAGTCCCCAGGTATACGGTAATGGACACAAAACGATGATTCCGGAACAAATAATCAGAAATCGACAAAATTCTCCAAACTTCGCAAAACCCATAAAAATCTCAATTTTCTCTTTTTTCTCACCGCCGCCGCCATCTTCTGATTTTTATATCACCTGAAAATTGTTTCGTGTCTATACCTATGTGTCATCACTTTTTCTCGAAATTGCCCCGAAAAAAGAACAACAAAACAATAAGGGAAAATTGGTTCCAATTTTCCCATTTTCCAAGGTTTCCATTGGAACTGGAAAATTGATTGAAGAGGAATAAATTTGAAAAGGGTCATTAAAGAATTGGGCAATGGGAAGAAGGAAGAGGAAGAAGAAATCGTTTTGCCATTATTCGCGGGAGGTCACAGACAAGAATGGAAAATGGGCATACAAACATTAAATGCTGCTGAAAGGTGAAACTGGAAAATCATCAGGAGGGAAATTCGAATTTCTAGGCGGTCTCTTATTTTTGAAGACGCATAGCTCGAAAAAGAGACAAGCTAGCAAAAAACAGTCAACTACGAAATTGTAGAGCATAAAAATTCACATATTTTGCAGTTTATAATTTTTCTGCTTTTTGCTGTGGTTTTCGAGATATGCGCCTTCAAATTCGGGATAGGTCTCTTTAGTCTTTTTAGAATGTGCTATCTTTCAAGGCGCATAACTCAAAAACTAAAACAGTGAATAGAGCAATCAAACTATTTTTTGTAGAGCATGAAATTTTGCATATTGTTCTATTTTACACTTTTCTGCTAGTTACTGTGGTACTTGAGATATGCGCCTTTAAAGTTCGTGGTACAATCTCGCCTGACTTATGAGGAGGCGCTATCTTTCAAGGCACATAGCTCAAAAACGAAAATAGTTGGCGATTAAGTTTCAACTAGAAAACTGTAGAATATGAAATTTTACATATTTGAATAGTGAACACAATTTTGGTAGCTATTTTGGTTTTTGAGCTATGCGCCTTTAAAGTTGAGATAGGTATCGAATGACGAGGGGTGAAAGCTTGCTATCTTTCAAGGCGAATATTCCAAAACGAAAAAAGCTAGCAAATAAATTTTAACTAGAAAATTGTAGAATGTAAAATTTTACACATTTTTCTATTTATTATTTTTTTTGTTATATGTTGTGGTTTTTGAGGTATGCGCCTTTAAAGTAGGGATACGGCAGATGAGACGATCGGATCGTTGACGCTCGCTATCTTTCAAGGCACATAGCTCAAAAGAGAGACAAGCTAGCAAAAAAGTTCCAACTATTAAAGTGAAAACATCATATTTTGTATTTTTTGTATTTCACACATTTTTGCTAGCTGCAGTGGTTTGTGAGATATGCGCCTTTAAAGTTGGGGTACGGTCTCAACTGAAGCTTGCTATCTTTCAAAGCGCATAACTCAAAAACAAACATAGCCAACAAAAAGCTTTAACTACAAAAAATATAGAGCACAAAATTTTACCTATATTTCTGGTTGACAAAGTTTTGATAGCTGCAGTGGTTTTTGAGCTACGCGCCTTTAGACTAGAGATACGCGTTAACTTTCAAGGTACAAAGTCAACTTGAAACTATCTAAAACTAGTTCAATTTTTCCGAAATGCTTACAGTAAACTAAACAACATTAGAGCTTCATTTTTGTAGTTGACAACTTTTTTGTAGCTTTCTTACTTTTTGAGTTATGCGCCTTTAAACTATTGATATGGTATGAGCAACCTGTGGTTCTTTAGGTAACTTGAAACAGCAGATTTTTAAAGGATTTTTAAGCTTTTAGAAAGGAAAATAAGCACGAAAAGGTTCTCAAAGTGCCAAATCTAATTGAAAAAATAGTGTAAAATGAGGCGAAAAATGAGTGGTGAACCCCGAGAAATCTGCAGAAAACATATGTCATAATGGCCCAGAGAAGAGGACAGGTGTTTCCGCAAAATTTGAAAAATCTAGAAATTCAAAGAACTCAAAAAGAACGCTTTTTTAAAGGCACATGTGTTTAGAAGACAGACTTTGGAGAGAAATAGTGTGTGAGGAGGAGAGACGGAGAAGAGAAACAAAAAAAATGCATATTAGGTTTATTATCAGGGAAAACGATTGGCGCCGTCCTGGTTGATTTTTTCTTGTTCGGAAAAGAAAATCCAAATTGGAATAATATTATTCTAGGGCAAAATAGTCCTACAACGACAGCTACCGTAACCTAAAATTGTTTTCTTTTTTTAAGGTTACTGTAGTTGTCGTTGTAGGACCTTCCACTGGCGTTTGTCATCTTCAGCTCTGTTTTTTCCCGAATTTTCGGGGAAAAAAACGAAAACTTTGTGGACTTTTAGGAGAAAAATTGCAAAAAAATAGGCGGATTTAATGGTTCATTGGATGCATTGGGAAAAGAAGAAAAAAGGAGAAAAAAGTGATGTGGAAATCCGGAAAAATAGTGACTTTAGACTCTTTTTTTTGGGTCATGTGACTTTGGAAAATTGTAAAATTGTGAATTTTGTAACCTGAAAATTTGCGAAAAACTGGAATTTGTCGAAAAATTACAAAAGCTCGCATTTCGAAAATTTGCAAAAATTGAAAAGTATTCGAAATTTGCTGGAATTGAATTCTTTAAAAATTGGAACTTTTGAAAATTGGAAGTTTCGAAAAATTGCAAAAAGTTGAAATTTTCAGAAAAATGGAATTCTCGAAAATTGCTAAAATTGCAAAAAATGCAAAAACTGGAATTTTTGAATTGTTCAACTTTTGGAATTTTCGAAAAATTGTGAAATTTCAATTTTCAGAAAATTGCAAAATTTGAATTTTTAAATAATTGCAAAAATCAGAATTTTCGAAAAATTGCATGAATTGGAATTTTAGAGAAATTGAAAAAAGCCTGAATTTTTTAAAAATTGAGTTTTTGAAAAAATACAAAAATTGCAAAAATCAGAATTTTTCAAAAATTGCAAAAATTTGAATTTTATAAAAATTGAATAAAAAACTTGAATTTTCGAAAAATTGCAAAAATTAAAATTTTCAAAAAAGTTGAAAATAACTGGATATTCGAAAAATTACTGAAATTGGAATTTTCGAAAAATTGCATAAATAAAATTTTCCAAAAATTGCAAAAATCTGGATTTTCGAAAATTGCTGAAATTTGAATTTTTTAAAAATTGCAAAAATGGAATGTTGAGAAAATTGCATAAATTGGAAATTTCAGAAAATTGAAGAAAAATTGAATTATCGAATAATGGATTTTTTTTCAAAAACCTCGAAAAATGGCTTAAAAAAGAGCCCATTTCTGGGAAATTCTAGAAAAGTACAAAATTCTAGGTTTGGCGGGAATTCAAATTACTAGACTTTTCGAAGTTTCCAGAAGCAATTTTTCGACAATTTTCTTTATGCACATTTTACTGTAAGTTATTGATTTTTAGATCATAAAGCCGTTTTTCATGAAGAATCGAAACAAAATTAGTTTTTTCCGATGATTTTAAAGCAATTTTCAGAAATTTCAGCAAAAAAGCCAATTTTTCAATTTTCTTTATCATCAAAAAACTCAAAAATCGGAGAGAAGAAAAAAGAACTCTTCTCCTCTCTCTGCTCAAGAAACATTCGGGTTCATTCGGGGTTGAAAGCGGAGAAAAAGAGAGGAAAGGACCACGAAAATCCTAAAAAATTACACTAATCCACCTTTTTTTCCATCTCTCTCCAACTTGTTTCTCCGTCTCTTTTTCGAAGAGCCGGAGCAGGAGCAGGAGACATATCAAACGTCAAAAAAGATCCTCTCCTACTTCACTTTTCGGAGCATTTCCTGTCATCGACGAATCAAAAAATCAAGGAAAAGAGCGGTGGTTTTTGAAGGAAAAATGGGAAAAATTATATTTTCAAAACGACGAAAAAAAAGCGAAGACAAGATCATTGTTGGATCACAAAAAAAGAGCAGAACAGCTGAACGGAAAACAAATAAATTTAAAAAATCAGCAATTATCGATAACGGCGATCACGATCCCGGTCCCGATCCCTGTCCCGATCTCTATCTCGATCCCGATCCCTATCACGATCCCGTCTGTCCCTTGATCTGTCTCTGGAACGATCCCGATCCCTAGAACGGTCTCTCCGGCTCCTCTCCCTATCCCTCTCCCGACTCCTTGAACGACTCCTCTTCCTCTTCTTATCCTTCTTCTCACTTCTCCGCTCTTCACTCTTCCGATCCTTCTTCCCAGACGGCGTTGACGTCATCTCCTTCGCCAGAATCCTCTCCACCTTCTCCATCTCAGCCTTCTTGAACTCGTCAACCTTCTTCCTTACATCTGGATCCCGTTTCGCTTCCAAATCATCCTGTAGTGCCAACGCTCGAACTTCCACGTCGCGCTTCAGCTGACGACGTTTCTCTTCTAGTGGTCCTGAAGACGTCGGTGGTGGTGGAGGAGCAGGGGGTTCTTTGATTTCTCCTGGAGACAAACTGTTCTGCGATTCGGGGGTTTCCAGGATCTGAACGCCGTCAATGTCTTCGTCGTCCTCTTCGTTGGATTTGCGTCCGTCGTTGTCCCATTTGGACGAGAACATCGGGGATGGTACTCGACGGGGAGCGCTCTGGAAATCTCGAAATAAGCTTAAACTTGGCTCGAAATTCAAAATTATTACTCAATCAAGGAAAAGTTTCTCACCTCCACCGGCTTGAATTTACTCGCTATGGATGTCGACGGCGCCTCTTCCAGCGGTACTCCATCAATATCATCGTCATCATAAAGCGATTCCTTCTTCTTCTCTCCAACGTCTTCAATAGGCACCCCATCCAAATCCTCATCTGAATCCTCCTGCACCTTCTCCTTCTCTTCTGGCTCCTCTGACTTCTCTTTCCCGTACTCAATCAACCCCAAAAAGATATTCTGACTCAAAATCAGCTTATCAGTTGGATACAACGCAATCTCCTCGAATTGTCTGAACACATTCATCACTCGCTGCTTGAACTGATCCTGTTTGATTCGAGAGGCAATCGATCGATAAGTTTTGCCAAGTGCCACGAAGATCTTCTCAAGGAGAGCGTCGAAGTGGGAACGGTACATATGGGCGTCGCGGATGGCTTTCTGGACACAGTTGGAGAGAATGTCGTTGATAAGGTATAGTCTGGAAAAGTACAGAAGGTTTGTGATGATCTATACTGTAGTAAAGGACTCCTTACCTTGCAATTTTCTTGAATAATGGAGTATCATCAATCGTTAGGCTATCATAAATGCACTCGGCAATCTCCGCAGCATACTTCGCATTCTCTATACACCAAACCATGCCAGCACCCACTGACATCTTCTCCGGAGTCATCTCCCGAAGCATCGTTTCCAACTTATCCCTCCTCTTATCCGACATCCTATTCTTCCTCCTCTTCTCTCTCTTCTCCTGCCTCTTCCTCTCCTTTTCCTCATTCTTCTTTCTTCTACGATCTTCTCGCTCGTCATCTGAATCCTGTCGTGTCCGTTGTGGCTTCTCACCTCCCCTTCTCTGCCCTCCATCCCTGACCTTCATCCATTTCTCCGGGTACGTCTTCAAACAGTTCATCTGATACAGCTCTGTTGGCATGGCTTCTCGCAGCTCGTTCAGATGATAAGGGGGCACCCACCAGGCTCCGTTCTTGAACATTCTGAAGGGTTGGCGATGCCATTCTTTCAGGGTATCCCCTTGAAGAAGTGAGTAGATTCTCCAGCGATAGTAGACGTGAAGGGCACTGGTGTTATCCCATAGGAATTGAAACATTGGGTTTTGATACTCGTCTGCGCAGATCATGGCTTCAAATTGGGGACCTTCGGTGCACACGTAGACAGCCATTCGATCCATAATCCTCACTAGTTGCCGGTCAGGAGGGATCACAACTCTCACTATAGAATTTCTCATCAATTCCATAAAATCCTCATATCCATACTGTCCAGCAGTCGGAGTAACGGCGATCGGGGGAAACGACCCATACTTCTTCAAAAACTCCTTGGCAAGCTCTGCATTAGGCTGCGCATTGAATGGCAGCCCAGACACCGGATCCGGGTGCTGAAGGTCTTGAAGAACGGGCGGGGTATAATAAGGAACCACTGGGATTTGTACAGGTCTTGCGAACGCAAATCTAATTGGCTCATTTCGAATGATAATCACCCGCACTTCAGCCATAAATCGATCCACGTCACTCCGATTCATAAATGCCACAAATGCACAGATATGCGGTCTTCGTCGCTCTTCCTCACTTCTCGGATACAGGATTTTCAGCGCTGCTAGCGGTCCGAACGAGCCAAAAGTGAAGAGGAGGTCTTGTTCGGTGACAGAGTGGGGGATATTAGAGACGTAGACGTTTGTGGTGTACGGATCGTCGTCGAACTGGCTGGTCCCTTGGAATCCACGCTCCACAGTTGGAGCTAAGCGTTCTACAACTGCCTGATCCATACCCACTTGTTCAAGGTGTTGACGGAGGTCTTTGCGCTTTTCTCGATCTTCCTGGACTCTAAAAATGGGTTTTTTGGGATTATTGGACTATTTCTGTATTCCAAACCGTTGCAATTCCATTTTAAACATCTCCATCTGAGTCAGTTTGGGCTTGTCTTGCTTCGCTTTAAAACTTCCTGGCTTCGGAGGCCTTTGCAATGGCTTAGTAGTCGGAAGCACCACTTTTGGGACCTCTGCCATTTTCTTGCTTCTTGCAGCATCTTCTAACATGCGTCGCGCCTTCGCCGCTGCCAGTTTCTTCGCCTCATCAAGATCTTTGGAGCCCACATTTGAAGTTTTCGAGGTGTTAATATTCATTTTGAATTTCGGAGCGTATACACTTCCCTCGCCACCGGTGCTTGCTGAAAAAACAAATTTTTAGCTGCAAATAACCTAGATTTATTGTGAAAACTCACTGCTTTTATTGCCTTCCACCACATTTCCCCTTAAAAACGATTTCGGTTGAGTTGCCGAGCTCGATTGTCCGAAATCTGCTTGAAATTCTAGCAGGGCATCGTTCAGTTTCGCTTCCTCATCGTCGGCAGTTTTTTTCCGCTTTTTCGCCCATTCCATGCTCATTTTTGTGACCTGGAAAAAGCAGATATAATTTAATTCTAGCATATCGAAAAACGCGCAAACAAAAATCGCCAAGCGCGCAAACAGGCCGCCAGGCGCAATTCCGGTTTTTAGCGGGAGTTTGAAAATCGGTGGCATTTCCACATGCCAAAATGGGTCCTAAATGCCCTCCATCGGTGTGCACCGAAGAATGGAGCCCTCTTAACTGGACTGTAATTATCATGGAAGTTCTACAAATTGCATTTCAAGTGCTTATCATTAAATATCTTTTTCTGTGTGAGAAAATACATTTTTAACAGGAAACAACAGAGATTTCTAGATCTTCATGGCGATTCGTTCAATTTTCTAGCACTTGCTTTTGCTCAATTCGGCCTATTTTTCATCAGCAGTCTTCTTGTTGCTCTGCTGTTTTACTCCTACATCGGAACTCGACGTCTTCAATTGCTTCTGACATTTTTTATTTTTCCTGAAAATCCCCGGAAAATCCAAATTTTAGTACACCAAACTCGTTGTTGACACTATCTCCTACGCCTCTGTTGCTCTTTCACACACCCTAAAAATATTCGATGTGCTCCAAATCAACTATCTCATTCAAAACTGTCGATTTCTAACGATTTGTGTGTATTGCCATATTGGAGCTCGTTGTGATTTCTATACAAATTATGATACAGAAGAGTCAAATGAGCCGGAAAAGTCAGTGATTGTGAAAATTGATAAAAAGAGAGACAAAGACACAATTACTCCGGGAATCGGTCGAATTATAGCGAATGAAACAGGAAAACCGGGGAAGAAAAGAAGAGAGTTCGATTTAATTAAATTTTACAATTCGTTTTTCAATAAAAATGTTTAAAACTTTCTTTGATTTGTTATTTTTTTTCCGTTTTTCCCTTTCCGACCAACGAAACAAAAAAATCCGATTTCAAACAACCGCGCAAAAGCGCGCTCCTTGGCTGAGGATCAAACTTTTGCGTATTGAGAGGTACGCAGCGAAATTGCCTCCTCGCCTCCCTTTTTCACCCTTCATTTTCTTCTGGCCTACACTCGATTACCCCGCTCTTCTCCTTCGAATTTTGTGTGTGAGCGAGCGCTGTGTCGGTTCTTTGGATCTCTGGGTTTCTCTTTTCGCACGAAGATTCTCATCATCGCGCCTAGTGTCTTCTCCTTCGCGACTCGTCGTTCGCCACGTGTATCAGTGCATGTGTTTCGAAGAGTTTTAGGCATAGAAAGCGCTTTGGGGAGAGAGAACAAGTGTGGCGAGATAACAAAAAAGAGTTTAGGAAATCGAATGTTTCTATATCACCGCTGCTTTTTTTATCTCCCTTCGCGAACTATTTTCCACCATTTCTAGATTTTAGGCTGCAATCTCTAGCCTACAATCGAACACGGGCGGTTCAGAAGTTTTCTTCCTTCAATCTGTGTTTTGAACTAGAAAAGAACATTTCTCTCCTTTTCACTTCCTAATTGTTTTTTTTTGCCATTCAGTGAGAGTAGTCTGCCAATCTATCGCTGTGGCGACAACTTCGTCGCATCGATTTCCGATTTCTAGTAAGCCAGACGTTTCTCCTGGCTACTTCAGCTGCCCATGTCCCTACCCCAGCGACTTGTCTGTGCGTCTCTACAGCCTCCTCTTTGGGGCTATAGAGACGCTTTTTCTAACCGTCATTGATCGTGCGCATGGCGAGAATGGAGTGAGACACCGGTAGCGCCTCCCACATCTCCATTTTGAAGCAGCTCGTCATCGCTTTATCGATGCACTTTGGCGCCGCCACGTTATCTTTCGCTTTACTCTTGTCACTGTTCTGTCTTCTCTCGAATATTCGTTCGTCATGTACCTCTAATTTTTTTTCTCTTTTCAGATCTCTTCAGGAAATCAAACCTAAAACGACATCGTAAAATGAGTGCGGCGGACCAACAACAACTCGTTCCTGCTAACGGCGATGAAAACTGGAAGGCAGCTCTCAACTTGCCAGCTAAGGACCGGCGCTTCAAGACAGCTGTAAGTTTCATTGATCATTTCCTCCAGAATCAAGTGTTATTTTTCAGGATGTTACTGACACCAAGGGAGTCGAATTCGAGGACTTCTGCCTCGGACGCGATCTTCTCATGGGAATCTTCGAGAAGGGATGGGAAAAGCCAAGTCCAATTCAAGAGGCTTCCATCGGAGTGGCTTTGACCGGCCAAGACATTCTTGCCAGAGCTAAGAACGGAACAGGAAAGACCGGAGCCTACTGCATCCCAGTCATCGAGAAGATCCAGCCAGCTCTCAAGGCTATCCAAGCTATGGTCATCGTCCCAACCCGTGAATTGGCTCTCCAGACTTCCCAGATCTGCGTCGAACTCTCCAAGCACATTCAACTCAAGGTTATGGTTACCACTGGTGGAACTGATCTTCGTGACGACATCATGCGTTTGAACGGAACCGTCCACTTGGTCATCGCCACTCCTGGCAGAATCCTCGATTTGATGGAGAAGGGAGTTGCCAAGATGGAGAACTGCAAGACTCTCGTTCTCGACGAAGCAGATAAGCTCCTCAGTCAAGACTTCCAGGTACTAATATTGTTGAATTGTAACCAAAGTTAATATTTTTTTCAGGGAATCCTTGACCGTCTCATCAACTTCTTGCCAAAGGAGCGTCAAATCATGTTGTACTCGGCTACTTTCCCACAGACTGTCACCACCTTCATGCAGAAGCACATGCACAAGCCATACGAGATTAACCTCATGGAGGAGCTCACTCTTCTTGGAGTCACTCAATACTATGCCTTCGTCCAAGAGAAGCAGAAGGTTCACTGCTTGAACACTTTGTTCCGCAAGCTCCAGATCAACCAGTCGATCATCTTCTGCAACTCCACTCAACGTGTCGAACTTCTTGCCAAGAAAATCACCGAGATCGGATACTCGTGCTACTACATCCACTCCAAGATGGCTCAGAACCACAGAAACCGCGTTTTCCACGACTTCCGTCAAGGAAACTGCAGAAACTTGGTCTGCTCCGACTTGCTCACCAGAGGTAAGCAAATTAACTAGTAAATTAGAGGTCGCGATGAGGAAATTCATCACACACACACTCCGAATTTTCGTGTAGAGAATTATTAAGAACGGATATCTGAGCGCCTTCAATTTCTCAGAATGCTATCACCTGCAAATTAAAACTTATGATTTATTTTTCAGGTATCGACATCCAGGCTGTCAATGTCGTCATCAACTTCGACTTCCCAAGAAACGCTGAGACTTACCTTCACAGAATCGGTCGCTCTGGACGTTTCGGTCACCTCGGAGTTGCTATCAACCTCATCACCTACGAGGACCGCCACACTCTTCGCCGTATCGAGCAGGAGCTCCGCACTCGCATCGAGCCAATCCCGAAGACGGTTGATCCAAAGCTTTACGTCGCCGACCAGCAACTCGTCGATGCTGCCGAGGACACCACCGCCTAAGCATGCAGTTATCCCCTTATATATACTCGAATCCTCTAAAACACACTGGTTTTTCTACGTTTTTTCATTCCTAGTGATCTCTTCCAGATTGTGTACGTTCTCTCATACATCCCCTACCTTCCCATCCTCTAATTGCACAGTTTGTGTTAAACTTAATATTGTTCAAACATAAGCATCTTTTTTTCATGTTCCCTTTCCTATCCCAATTCTTTTTTTTCTTGAATCCCATCCTTTTTCTCCCGGAATCCCCCTCAACCCGTTATAGTTTCATGCGGTGTAAACTCTAATTCTCATTAGTTTGTTCCTTTTTCCCCCGCATTCTACCCAAATTGCAGTCCTGGACTGCAGATCCTCCGAGTCGTTGTGTTTACATAGTCATTTAAGTTCATCTCTGCTTTCTCAAAGTATCGTTGATGTTCTGGGAAAGTAGGGATCGATTGTTCCTTCACTTCGGGTCTTTCTTTGACGTGTTCATTATTGGGTAAGTGTCTCGGTGGCTCTTGTGAGCAGCCGAGTTGCTCCAAATTGATCAATCTTGTAATTTTTCATCTCATCTCCCCTCATTTCTCTTCATGCCCTTTTACCTTTGCATCCCAATTCCCCCACACAAATTTCCAAAAATCCAATATACCATCCAGCGGTTTTCCCTTGCCCATCTGTAGGGTTTTACTCCGCTCTTGTGCACTTGAGTTCAACTTGTTCATCTTCCCTAATCTCATAGATATTTATTGCAACATTTTCTCATGTCAAATGGCGTACAAAGGCGTTATATGTCTTGGAAAGCTTCCGGCTGGCCATGTGTCTCGCTTACAGCTCTTCCACCCCCACACTGTCCCCCTCAAAAACCATTTGTCCCCTCCAAATTCGCCTCGTTCCCACTCTTGTTTATTGTATAATTTGTAAAAGTTGACACCCAAAGTTCGCACAAATTTCGATTCATCAGTCTAGCTGGTAAGCTTCCCTCGGGATGCAAGCTGGCTAGTCTGCCAATAAAAACATCGAGTCGAAAACCATTCTTTTCTCACACCTCTTCTTTTCAGACACAAACCGGGACAGGAGAAGTGAAAGCCTTGAAAAAACCGAAAACCCACACGAGATACATTAAAGCACATTAACGCATTACCACACGCGAGAGGGTGAAATGGAAAAGTAGCAAAACGCGACCGATTTACTTTCAATTCTCTTGGCATCCCACCATCAGCAGCGGAAGGCGTCAACAGTCAATTTACTTCTCTCTCCTCTTCTGTATGCGTCATCCGGAGAGGTGATTGGCCATCCGTATCGGCACCTCCAGCGGAATATTAGTTGATAGTTGCGGTGGAGGAGAGAGAGGTCAACACCACAAACCTACATTAACTTATTAGTGTGTTCCGAATATATTCCGAAAATTTCTCTTTTCGAACGTCTTCTGAATTTTCCATCTTTTTCGTAGAATTTCCCCATATATATGCAAATGTTAACAAGCCGTATCCGACTGCCGTGTCGATGACACGACGGCTCGAACCGGTCTGAATTGGATTTGGCAGGCATTTCTCTTCGATTTGGTGGATATATTTATCGTAACAA